GCTTTCTACCCGGAAAAGCTCACCGGAAGCGCTGGCGCCGCCATCTTTTTTTGATGAAAAAGTGCTTCCGGTGAGCTTTCTACCCGGAAAAGCTCACCGGAAGCACTTTTTCATCAAAAAAAGATGGCGGCGCCCAGCAACCAGCGGCCCGGTAGGACTTGTTCCGCGGACCGGTACCGGTCCGCGGACCGGTGGTTGGGGACCCCTGATATATAGGATACTTATGTTTGCATGAGAAACTAGACAACCACATTTTAGCTTAAAATCTTGTGTGAACTCCCATGTATTTAGTCAATGGGTGTGGATTAACACTAGAACTTTTGATGAATTGAATTAACTGAATAAACCATTGCAAGTATGTTATACATTGAGGCATATGGGCAGTTCAAAAATGTGAACAATAAATAAAATATACAAAACAATCAAAATCCTGTCCCAGAAATTGGGGGGAGGGAGTACAAAGATACAGATATGAGTATACAAAAGCCACAAGGTTTAATCTCCTTCACAAAATATGGTTGGCAGAGTCCAAGAGACGAGACTTTTCTGTCCTACCTCTCATCCTTTGGAATATTATACCCCATGAGGTAAGATCCACCCTCACTTTCTTTAGCCTTCCAAAAGGGCTTTAAAACATGGCTTTTGGAAGTGGTTATTGGATTAAATAGTAGATTCCACGTTTAACTCATTGTATACCCTTTTGACTTTGTTAATTGTGTCAATTCTGTTTTTATACTTACTGTTTTAATATTTTTGCAATAATACTATTTTTATTATGTTGTAAGCAGCTCAGAGTTGTGTGGCAGCAAGATGGCCAGCATATAAATTTAATAAATAAGTTTTAAAGAATGAAATAAGATCTAGGGGTTGGGCAGGTGGTTACAAAAAAAGCTATGAAAATACTATACTTGGTTAAAAGCAACATAGAAGAAAGGCCTAATTTGGGCAGAAAATATGATGTTGTCCAAAGTCAAGTTGATTCTTTTCATGCCTCTTTTTTGATTCATATCAAATAATTACACTCTTCATAATCTTTATTTATCCACTAGGACAGAATATATTGAGTTCATGATGACTGACTTCCTGCAGATAAATATCAGAAGGAGGGCTCTCAAAACATGTAAAACTGTAATTGACATATAATCACTTTGTAAATTGTTTTGAAGATAAAACATTACAATACTTCAAATACAGAGTGGGGTTTAGAGATTAAAACATTGAGAAGATCCTTGAATACTAGCAGTCCAACCCCTAGATGTTATTACTACAGATGATCTCACTGAATATTGGGGATTGGAAAAATCAGCTGTTTTGAATGACTGTAGGAAAAGTAGGTTATCTTGCATTAAACTTATGCCTTCAACGACCCTCTAAAAAGAATGCAAGTGACCAGCTGTCTGCAAGGGATATACAGTATAAATCCTTCCAATCCCTTCCATCCAGACAGATCTGAAGAAGCGTTTTGGATGAGAAGCGAAACGTCTTCAAAGAAAAAAACAAGAAAATACAGTTGCCTCCTGAAAAAGCATATTTGGGACAACCACGATCTGGATGAACTGAGAATCTCTATAGACTTTTATAATTTATATATCACGACTAGAAAAAAGCCGCGTGGATTCCTTCTCCAATGCTTCCCCTCCTTTCCAACCCTCGCTACAGGTGACGACAATGTCATTCATTCAGTCGCCTCCGACTTTCCCGTAACTTTGCTGCGAGGGAGATGCATCTGGCGGGTCCGCGGCGTGCCCCGAAGCGGATCTCCACCCACCCTCCCTCCCTCCCGTTTCTGAGCAGTGCAGCCCAGCCTTGCGCCCCCCACCTTCCCAATATTTCTGCCGCCATAGCTGTCCAGATGGTTGAGGAAGATCCGTTGGCTGCGAATGATCTCCTCTGCCTCCGCCACCGCCTCCTCTTCGTCCGACATGGTTGCAGTTGACAAAAAACGCCCGGAGGTTGCTGGGCAACCGACCCACGCGCTTGGCACCGGGGGAGGGAATGGGAGGAGGAGCAAAAAGGCAGGCAGCCAAAGATGGAAAAGGGGGCGGGGCTTCAGACTGAAGGGAAATCTCCCGTCCTCCGCAATGCTCGCCTGCGACGCGGGCCTGTTCTATAACAAGTCGGCGTATCGGAGCTGGGGAAGCGGGTGATTATTATATCCCGATGGACCGCATCGCTCCTCAATCGAACGCCCAGTGATGAAAAGTGCAGTCCAACCACCCTGGAGTGTTAAGGGCATGCTTTCTGAAGCATACAATTATCAAGCCAATTTGGTTTTGGGTGCAGATTTTAGCATGTAGGGGAAATAAAGGGATAATAATTGAGAGGAAACAAACTTCCATCCATCCATCTCTTGTGTGTACATCTAATCTGAAACACTGGCTACATTTACTTATTATTTTATATCAATTTTTCTTAACCAAAAGGTCGTCAAAATCAAAATTATGCGCCAGCCTATTTTGAAAAATAATTCACTATTAAAATCCCTTCAAACTATTACGAGAAATGAGAGGCAGTAAGTGCATCAATTTTAATTTTTAATATAGTAAATATTGATAAATGTAACCAATACAAACAAAAGTTCCATATTTTTTTAAAGTGAGAAAGGATCCTAAACTCTTAGGATAAGACCCATTATACAGATCATGTATGTGCCTTTATTTAAATGTACAACTGCTAACATAAATCAGTAAACAATAAACATGGCTAGGTTAGTCACAAAGGAGTACGAAGTTAGCTATGTAAAGTATATTTCCTCCCATAGGTCTAAATGTGATCATACATCTACTCAATAGTTTGTGCACTTTATATTTTTAAACAAATGTACAAAATGAAATACAGCATTATAACAGTTAAAAGTGTAAATTCCTGGACTAAATTCTCAGCTAGGTCCTAGGATAAAACGATCACCCAAATAAATCCAAAGGCGCAAGACATATTTAAGTCCTTCAAACTATAAGTTCATCTGTCTGAGAACTAGGAATGTTATCATTATATAGCAAAATGTCTGGTGCTGCTATGACTGCTATACAAACTTTCATTTAAAAACAGGCCCTTTTTGTAAGCAGTAAAAATTAAAAACAAAAAACTACAGCACCACTGTTAGCAAATTTCATATTTAGGTACCTAATTTGTTCTCTCGATTCAAATCCAACTTGACTCTTTGGTTTTGAATTAATATTGTGTTGTACATTAATTTAAAACAATGGTTAAAATACTAAAAGGTAACAGAAATATTTAGTAACTGGGAATATATTAAGGCGTGCAAAATACTTTCCAATATACTATACATTGTGTAAACATTTAAACTGTAAGTAACCCTTTATAGAATATGCATTTCATTTTAACAAAAACTGTAAGAAAGATGGGGCTTTATGAAGAATGCACTTTTTTAGTTCTTTATCTTTGTGCTTATACCATTTGTATTTCAATTGATGAATACATTCATTATGCCAACAATTCATCTTCTGTTCAGTATTCGAAGTTTGCAACCTATACAATAAACACTGCTTTTTACTGCTCACCAGTATTGGGCTTAAAATTGTAAATGGAAAATCTATTTTACTAAGCTTGGCAAGGCAATTTTCTGTTCATCATAAAATTCCAAGTTAGTCTTGGAAAACACGACTGTATTGTGCAAATTTTGAACAAGCATTATCTTGTTACAAACATTTAATGCCAACTGCAACATTGCTAAAACTAAGCATTGAGTTAGTACAGATTAAAACTCAAACATTATTCAATCACTTGAAAGAAAATTAACCAAGACTATAACTTTGTTTGAAATTTTGAGAACAAATTGAGTTGTTTACTGAGAACAGCTTCAGTTATAAAGGTTATAGATAGTGCCATTACAACTAGTAGAGCAACTAATGTTAAAAGCAAGGAATGCAAGTTAAACAAAGTATTCCTTTTCAAGTTCTCAGCATAAGCTGCTCAAAATTCTCAGTTACATTTTTTGGAACTCTCTTTTGGTTGTGAATTCAATCAGGACTGCCCATCGCTTTTCAAATCTTCTAGTCTTTGTAGTAATGCATTTCCAAAAGCTTCTCGATATGCTGGGCTAACTGAATCTAACAAAGAGTAGACAGTCTCATGGTAGGGATTCTGTAAACTGTCATCCATCTGGTCAAAATCATAAGCAACCACCTACAAAAGAAAAATATATTTCAAAAGTAAGAAAGGATCCAGTACAATATAAACACATGGATAAAGTAAGACAACATAAAATGTTCTGCAGACCTGTTCCCCCCCCCCCCTTTGGATATTTAAAAGACAACCCACAACACAGAATTCTCAAGCCTGATTAATACTAAAGATGTATTTCATGGATTTTTATAGTTACAGTAAATGGGGTAATTATGAAGCATTTATTGCATCAAATTACTGATTCCTGGAAATTTATTTTCTATATTAAATATTTGGAACTTAAGGAAAAGTAGGCTGCTTTTGTAACAATGTACTGTTGTTTACTAAATAGTCTGCAGCAAAATACTTAAAATATATACACAAAAGGAACATTACCCTGAGTCCTGCTTCTGTTAGCTCTAGGCAATATCTGTTCTTCTCCCTAGTTTCCACATTGATGTATGCTACCTCTTCAACACATGGGAGATTTTTAGAGACAAACATGTTGCTCACAGCAAACAAAACATCATTCACAACAGCTTCTGCTTCTATTCTCATGTCCTTCACATCTGTTCCTTCAAAATGGTTCTCAGTTCCACTGTTACTGGATTCATCCATGAAATTATAATCAGTCTCCATTCTGCACATAAAAATATGTGAATAATATTTAGTACATATCCAAAGATGCATTTATTCAGCCAGAACTTTTAATATATTTCTAAATGTGATGTGAATTTTCAGAAAATTTAGAACCATAATTACAATTTGTAACAACATTTAGGCAACGGGAAATTCCAAACAGAACACAAACTTTAAAAAAAACAAACCTGGATTTTAAAATTTTGAAAAAATCACTTCAACCTTAATTTCATGATTTCAAAATGGAAGCCTTTGGTGCCCTCACTGGTTCTGAAGTAATTGATCAGACAACACTGTATTCAACACAGATAAGGCTATCTATTCTTTTTTCTACTTAACCTCGTTTATTATTATTTCCAGTCTAGGCATGTTTCTTGGAAACTTCCTTACCACTTGCTGCAACCTTCAATTTTATAGGTCATTTCTTTCTTATCATTCTCAAGCGCCTCTAAGATCCTACAATCCAGAGACACATATTTCTCATCAATCCCTCAGTATTTCTCAGTATTTCTTGTGTGACACAACTCCCCACTGAGAACAATGAAATATATGTAAGTCAAAATTGACCTGGGGGAGTCTTTGGTGCTCTCTGAGCTTGGTTGTTGACTTGCCGATCTTTTATTACCCAACTGGGGAACCCTATCAGTGAAACTAAATGAAAATACAGGTAGTCCTTGACTTACAATTCATTTAGTGACCATTCAAAGTTACAACAGCACTGAAAAAGTGACTTATGACAATTTTTCACAGTTATGACCAGTGTAGCATCCCCATAATCATGTTATCTAAATTCACATGCTTGGCAACTAGTTCATATTTATGACCATTGCTGTGTTCCAAGGTTCAGTGATCGCCTTTTGCGATCTTCCGACAAGCAAAGTCAAAGGAGAAACCAGATTCACCTAACAACCGGGTAATTAACTTATCAACTGCAGTGATTCACTTAACAACTGTGGCAAGAAAGGTCGTAAAATGGGACAAAAGTCACTTAATACATCTCACTCAACAACAGAAATTTTGAGCTCCATTGTGGTCATAAGTCGAGGACTATGTGGCGATAAACGTACAATTGCAAAACATCTGTACAAATGCATACAGGACACTCTCCAGCCAACACACCACAACTGAGATGGAGAAGCTTCCCTGTTTCTCTAGCAACCATGGAAGTTGTAGTCCCAACACCTCTGGAAGACCCCAGGTGGGGAATGTGTGCAAATGTATGCAAATGCAGCAACTGTTTTGGTTGCCGATTTGATTCCAGCTGCAATTCAAAGTGCTGGTTGTCACCTTTAAAGCCCTTCCTAGCTTGGGACCAGGTTATATGAGGGACCGTTTCTTGCCGGTCACATCTACCTGACCCACTAGAGCAGGGAGGCAAGAAATGTTGCAGGTCCTGTCCCCTAAGGAGATACATCTGGTGGTACCCAGAAGAAGTTTTCCGTGGTGGTTCCTTCTCTCTAGATCAGGGGTCACCAATCTTTTGGACCTCAGGAACCACTAAATTCATAATTTTAAATCCCACGGACTACTAATATTAATAGTATTTAGTGCAATATAAAAAATGCAAATAATTTTTCAGTGGACCACCAAATTTTTCTCACAGACCACCAGTGATCCACAGGCCACCAGTTGGCGACCGCTGGTCTAGATCATCCCCCCAAAGTTTAGGCTGACCCCCCCCCCACTCTAATGTCATCAAAAAAGCACAACAAATGTTCTTTCTGCGCCAACTCAGAAAGCTCAAACTGCCCAAGGAGCTGCTGATACAGTTCTACAGAGGAATTATTGAGTCTATCATCTGCACCTCTACAACTGTCTGGTTTGGTTCTGCAACCCAACAAGACAGACACAGACTTCAGAGGATAATTAGGACTGCAGAAAAAACAATTACTACCCACCTGCCTTCAATCGAGGATCTGTATACTGCATGAGTCAAAAAGAGGGCAGTGAAATCCCAGACATAAACTGTTTCAACTCCTTCCCTCAAAACAACTTATAGAGCACAGCACAGCAGAACAACTAGACACAAGAACAGTTTTTTTCCAAAAGCCGCCACTCTGCTAAACAAATAATTCCCTCAACACTGTTCAACTATTTACAAAGTCTGCACTACTATTACTGTTAATCTTCTCATCACTCCTTATCACCCATCCCCTCCCACTTGTGACTGTATGACTGTAATTTTGTTGCTTGCATCCTTATGATTTATATTGACTGTTTCCTAGTATGATTTGATTGCTTATTGTACCCTATGACTATTAATAAGTATTGTACCCGATGATTGACTCTTGACGAATGTATCTTTTATGTACACTGAGAGCATTTGCACCAAGACAAATTCCTTGTGCGTCCAAACACACTTGGCCAATAAAGAATTCTATTCTATTCTATTCTATTCTATTCTATTCCTTATTCTAATTCTTATTCTAATTCTCTATTCTATTCTAACACTCTAAGACTCTGAAGATGTGGTTCTGCCAGTGGGCCTGGGGAACCCAGAGGGGGATGGAGCCATAAAAAGGCTAGTATGTAATGTGTGTTGCCACTGGGGTGGGGTGGGAGGTTATTCTTTTATTATTTTTTATTACGTTTATTTCTTTTATGTTGCCCTTTTTATGTCCTGGTAAGCCGCTTTGAGTCGCCACGTGCGAGCGGGCGGCAATATAAATTTAATAAATAAATAAAACAAAAACAAAAATAAATAAATAACGCAGGGCAGATGCCAGCAGCGGATGCCCCTTTCTCTCCGACGTTGCAACTCAACAGTCGGATCGCCACCACCGCGGTCCCCCGTGCAACCCCTTCCAGTTGCTTTCGCCCTCCGGTCGCGACGGCATTATCTACCCATATCCATTCTCCTTCGGCGTCTGTCCGTCGGATAGGTCTTGCATGAGAATTGCTCCCGGCCCCCTCACTAACGGAGACGATAACCTTCTCGCGCGCGCTCTCTCTCACTCTGCTCCCAACAAGCGAAACCCCTCGCTTCGCCCCTTCTCACTTTCCAAGCTGTCACGTGCCACCATCACCAGAGTCCGGCGGCTCGGGAGGGGGGGGGAAACACAAGAGGCGCCACTTCCGGTTGCCGATGGAGCTTGCACGTGGTTTAGGGCTAAACAGTTTAAAGCTGGCTGAGGACCTCTGGGAGTTGAAGTCCACAAGTCCTAAAGTTGCCAACGTTGGAGACCCCTGGTTTAGGGAGAGGGAATCGTCGGATTGCGGATCCAGGGATGTATTTCATTAAGGATAAACCTCTTTTAGGACATCATGATTTCACTGCGAAAGTACGAATAGGCTTTAAAAAACAACAACAAATCGCCGTTGTAAATTAACATTTGCATTAGGACGTGATGATTTCATTGCATATTTCATTGCATTGCGAAAGTACGAATAGTTTAGGCTTTAAAAAAACAATAAACCTTGGATTCATCTCCACTTTGGATTTAGTTTTGTCTTTTATACGTTTTTCCACCAAATTAATATGACGTCTTTTAAAAAAAAAAAAGAGGAATGGTGGGAAGCCCCTGAGTATCTCCCTGCAGGCGCTTGTGGATGTTCCCGTCCTTTTTTATGCTGACGTTGACTTGCAAGCTAAGGGCCCCTCCGCTGCTCTTCTTTTTTTTTTTTTTGTCCTTATCTCTATGTTCCAAAGGTCACGTGACTTCTCCGGTCTCCTTCCCTGGGCCTTCTCTTCCTTCCGCAGCCCAGAAGATGACGAGGCTTCCTCGCAGGGTTTGACGTCCTCCGAAGCGTGGCTACGCGATCCAAGCGGAGCGGCGCAACGACTTGGCCTCGCCGCCCCCAAACAGCGGGGCGAGGAAAGGGGGCGGAGAGGGAGAGAGAAAATAACAACCTCGCGGCGAGGCTTCTCCGTGGGACGGCGAGAGAGGATTTTTTTTGCCGCGGGGTGGCGGCGGGAAGGAAGAAGCCGAAGACCTCGTGGACCGTGAAAACCACCCACGGCCGGCCCTTTAAATTTCCCGGCCGGAGTTGGGGGGCAGGCCTCGGAGAAGATGGCGGCGGTTTGAGAGGCGAGATGGAACCGCCCGGTCTTGGCGGTGCTCTTGCGACGTGAAGCCTCCTCGGGCAGGACTTGAACAGACGAGTCGGGAGGCTCTTTCTGACCACTAGCCGAGACCCCGGACGGGGTCTCCTTTCCCTCTCAAGCAGGCTTATTGTGCGGGTTCCCCGTCCCCCCCGTCCCCGCTTTCAACTCTCTCTGACATTCAGTGACAGCTTCGGCACGCCCCTTTCTGGAGTTCCTGACTGGTGGGGCTGTCGACCGTCCTCCCCACCCCCCGCCATCCATTTTCTGTCCTCTTGAACAGACCCGCGTCTGGCAGCTCCCGAAGACCCGTTTTGTGACTTCCTGGCTCCCGTCCTCCAGCCCTCGCATCTCCTTCCCTGCACTTCCCATCGACTTCCCCCCCCCCTCCTCCTCCTTTCTCTCTCTCCTTGGCCATCATGCCTTGGCCTTTCTCGGAGTCGATCAAAAAAAGGGCCTGCAGGTATCTGCTGCAGAGGTACCTGGGGCACTTTCTCCAGGAGAAGCTCAGCTTGGAGCAGCTCACGCTGGATCTTTACCAAGGCACAGGCTGCTTGGCCCAGGTGCCTCTAGACAAATGGGTAAGTGATCCAGTTCCAGCTGGCAAAGGAGGAATTGTCTTTTGACAGGTATAGCCAGCTTGTTTGTTTCAGTTTCCTGCCCGCCTTCTGATTATTGTTCTGATTGTCATTGCCTTGACAAAATATTAGAGGGCGCTAGAGCATATTGAGACTGTTTGGAGTAAACCAAGTTTAGTAAGATGTAAAAACAGATTTACCTGTGAGCAATTCCCAAATATTTGGATCATAATCCAAGTAATAATTTCTATCCTTTCAAATTGAAGCTGTCAATGGTGGTGGGATTGAAGCCAAAATGGATTTTTTATTTTATACTTAAGGAGAGAGAAAAAGGGAATAATAAAAGAAATGGGAAACCTCATTCAGGTTGTTTTCAGTTGGTTCACTTGGAAGAAATGCAAATTCATGTTAGAGTTATGGTAACTTCTGAATCAACTCACATTTTGATACATTTTATTTAGTACTGCTGAGCGATAATAGTTTCAAAAAGATGCCAGGTAAGGAAAAATTATCTAGATTATGGAAATTCTAGTATGGAAATAGTACTTGACCATTGCCTTATGATTTAAATTGTGAGATGAATGGATTAGTAGGATTACTAGGTCCCTAATTGTATTGTTTGCATGATCCTGTGAAAGTGTATTCACAACTCATAGCTATGGTGTATTTGATCAAATCCATATTTGACAGCATTATAATTAGGGATAAAGATGGGTTTTAAAAAAGTGATTCTATGTAGAGAAGTGCAAATCATGCCTTTATATTTTAATATAAACACCAAAGGTCTTTGTAAACAAACACTTGTGATTTTATGCCTCAGTTTCATAGATGAGTTTCATAGATGACATTTTAGAAAAGGTTTTTTTTTAAAACTAAAGTCTTATTTTGTAGAATATTTATCAGTATCTTTCTGTATTTTTATATTTTAATTGATACGGAAAATATTACAATTCAACCCCAGCAAGACAGAGTGGTTGTGGGTATTTGGACCCTCTGGAGACAGAGTATTTCCATCTTTCTGTCTGTCTGGGGTTGCACTACCCAAACAGACTTGGTGCACAATCTGGGGGTCTTTCTGGACTTGTGGCTCCTGCTTTTGGTGATGCACCAGTTGCACCCATAACTCAGGTCAATTCAAGGTAGTGGTAGTTATCTTTAAAGCCCTATATAGCTGGGACTGAAGTACCAGAAGGACTGCAGGACTGCCTTTTTCCAAAGCCTCTACCTGCCCAACCATATCTAGCAGGATGGGCATGCTGCAGATTCTGTCTGCCAGAGTGTGTCTGCTGGCAGAGATTAACAAATGGCATTTTTTTGCTATGGCCCGTCCACTATGGAACATTGTCTCTTTGGAGATTAGAATAGTCCCAACTCTATTAACCTTTCCTAAGGCCTAAAAACCTCACTATGTTTCCAACCCTGGGACGCTGAATTTTATTTATTTTTATTCAATTTTTATGCTGTCCATCTCCTCTATAAGGTGACAAGGTGACAGCTATGTGATTGTGTTAAGGGCCCCCATTTTCTGACTGCATTGCTAACTAGCCAAATATCATGGCTATAAATGTAAATTTATTTTGTTTCTATTGTTTTATTCTTTTTTAAATGTTTTTTGTATTTTGATTGTAATATATATTTTTTGAATTGTAAGCTGCCCAGAGTCATTTACTGAGATCGGCATCTATAGAAATTGAATGAATACAATTAATTGAAATAAATTATTTAGTTTTAATATAGATATTTATGCTTTTAGGAAATTTGGTTGAAAGAATCTTATGATTTAGGAATCTTAACTTTCTGTAGAATTTCATAATCAGAAACTTTGTAGCTGAGAAAAAAATATGAATTAAAATTTGGCTACTCACTGGTTGCCTTCATTCAGTGATTGTGTTTCTTATCTGCTGCAGAATGCATTTTCCTTCAGTCTGTTCTTTCAGACTGAAAGAGCTTCAGTCTGTTCTTTCAGTCTGCTAAATGTTCTCCTTGGGAAATTTTCATCATGGTATTGAGCATCTCTAGAGTTTTTTCCTTTCTAGCTTTCTTTCTCCCTTTTAAAATACTTACAGCTGTTTACATTGGCCTTCAATGCATTATGATAACATTGCTTTGACTCAGGTTACCAGAAGAAGTAATTGTTAGCAATGAGTTAAGGCTTGTTAAGGCTTTCATGTTGCTTACAATTAGTAAGCAAAGCCTTTTTGTTCCATTTAGCATTAAACATCATCAGTAAGTCTACCTATTAAAACTTTTTATTTAATTCTCTAATTTAAGTCTAATACCTACTAAATATAGACATTAGATGAGGAGGCTCTTTTTAGAACAATTATAATAGTTTCTGTGTTATGATAAAATGTGAAAATGATAATGATGGTGTTGGTAGATGCAAGATAAGCTTCATAACATTTGTCCAAGTTCATATTACTAAGATTTGATAACATTTTTGTTCATATAATATCAACAGCCAGAATTCTGTGTGCACTATTTGATCTGGAGCAGCTTCCCTGTCTTTGCTTATTCTACCTTTTAATAAAATATAGAATATTACAAAGAGAGTTTCTCTTTTGACTTGAAATGAATATTTTTATGTATAGGAAGGTAATTATCAAGGTTAAGGCAATTCTAAATATTGACATTTAAAGTGCAAAGTTGAGAAGCCATTGGATTGATTTGTAGGTAAGATATGTGTACTATGACCGTACTTTATTGCCCAACAGTTGTGGATCTGAAATGTTTAGTCCATATATATGAAACATTAATCAAACTGGGTTTAGTAGCTTATTGAAAATTGGTATTACTTGCTATTTTCTCAATTCTTCAGTTTGATTCTCTGGAATATTGCAGTCATTTTGATGGTTTTCTGATTAAAGCAAATAATGTTACTTTAGGGTGTTTTGAATGAAGGTTTTAGGAGTGCAAAATTAAACACACAAATTTTTCTGCCTTGTGACAAACCAATTAGTGGGTCTAATTCTGCCTAAAGCTGACTCATATTCTGATTCATATGTAGCAAAGAAGGTCCACTTACATTGTAAAATGTCATTCTTCTAAATGGTAAGGACCCTTCTACATTTGAGGCTACTTGATTTTTTGGTAGTTTGCCGTGGCTTATTTGCTAAACTGTCTGATAAGTTGTTCATGTTTGTTGAAGTCCATCTTGGAAAATGATAAATGTAGTATGAGTCTATTCTTTGCATAGCCACATTTGCTTATTTCAGTTGCTATAGCCTGAGGATGTAGAGAGAGTCCCTGGAGAGATGCAGTTTATCACATCCATTCGTGTCTCTTTGGGCAGAAATGTTATCCAAGATTAAGCACCTGAAAGAGATTTTTCATTGTCCTTAGTTTTACCTGGTCTCTAAATGTATCTCCTGATAATTTCCTGGATATCTCAGTCGTATTCAGTACCATTTTTATGGAGTCTGGCTTCACTGGACACAATCCTACTTATTAAGCACTCAAAAAACCAACCTCTCTTTGCCCCGATGGCTACCAAGTAGGATCTCCCACTCAGGAAGGAACAGAATTACTTTGGTACAGTTCTTCCAACCCATTCAGATGGGCCTGAAGGATACTTATTAGACTTCTTGGAGGCTTCTGATATTGATTATAAGACAAAGGTGATCATGTTTTCCTCCACGAGAGTCTCTCTCTGGGTTATTAATGAAGGAAACCAGCTTGGTTTCAGCCTCATGCCTAGGCCTCAGTCTTGATTGTCACAGGTCTAGATGTAATCTGTTTCTTCTATTCTTTCCACAACTTCCTCTAATATTTAAGTTCTGTTTGGCGAGCTTTTTGTAAATTTGTTTTCTTTGATGTTTTGTATATATTTAGTGTCCTGTATTGTGACTGACATTTTTAGAGCTTCTTAAGCCTAATAAGCTCCCTGGGTGATATTTTCTACAGTAGTGGGTTATGTTAGGGGAACAATATTGACTATGTCAATGTTATGAGAATAACTACAGGAATATGCAATTGAGAACATCTCTAATGATAAAGATGTCTGAGCTATAAGTTGAATTCTTTATGAAATATTGTATGTTCTTAAATGAACACCATTTTCTGTTATGTGCATTTTTATGGGATTGTTTTTAATTAACTTTTCAGTGTTTCAATATTTGAAAGCATTTGCCTTGTTACAGTATTTAAAAATGTCATTATCAATGTACTACTATTAATATTTTTCCACAGCTTTTTATAACTGATTACCACAGTAGCATGTGGCTTACATAAGCACAAGTAGTTGTTGGCAAGTATGACAGGCATTTTGCTAAAAAAATAACAATTTATCTTAATTGTGATCACCCTTATAATCATTTTACCTGTTCTTTTAAGTATGTTTATCCGTGTCTATGACATTAAATTTTGCAATACTTAAAATGATAGTGATGGTTAATTGGATTTGTTGACACTGGATATATGAAGCAAAATGTATTAATGTATTGCAGCATGGAAGTTATAGAAATGGATGTACCCAGCCATATTGAGTATTTCTATGAATGCATATCCGATTTGCATTAAAATTAGAGATTGCCGTGGAGAAGGAAATTAAGGGATTTTTTTGTATTATATAATAAGAACTATGATGCATCAGATGAAAGAGCTAGATATATACAGTATTCTACCATATTTTTTCCCCACAATGGCTAATCAGATGTCAGTAATTAGATTACAAGCTGGACATGAGTACATTATTATTTTTCATGTATGTTTTGCACATACCAGAACCAGTATGCTCATTGTGATTAGTAGACTTTGGTAATTTTAGCCTGTTTTCCCATATTTATGGGCTTTGGGAGGCAGCCAAATGGTGGGATCTAATAACCACACACCAAATACCAAAATGTATTTAAAAAAAATATATCCACATTTCCACATATTGAAAACACCCTTTGAAGATTGAATCTAAAGCATTGTACTACCCTAGCTGAAACTTGTATTTTTTTAGGCAGCTAAACCTAATTTGCCCTAGATGCAGAAGAGAAATTAATTATCCATATATATGTTAGAATTGTAATTAGTATTACAAATTCTGATAATAAATATTACGAATTTTGTGTTTTTCTTCTCTTTGCTTAGAGCCTGAACGAGATTCTGGAATCTGCAGATGCTCCATTGGAAGTTACTGAAGGATTTATTCAGTCAATATCTCTGTCCATTCCTTGGGGCTCTTTGCTTCAAGATAACTGTGCCCTTGAAGTAAAGGGCTTAGAGATGGTCTTCAAGCCAAGGCCATGTCTAGGTAAGTTAATAAACAACAGTTGCTTGTCATTACATATTCTATAATTTTTTTTGCATGTTAGAAGATAAGTGGATTAGTGTAAATCAGTGCTTCTCAACCTTAGTGACTTGAAAATGTGTGGACTTCAACTCCCAGAATTCCCCAACCAGCAAAGACTGGCTTGGGAATTCTGGGAGTTGAAGTCCATACACTTTCACTGATATAAATGAACTAGTATCACAATACAGGTAGTTCTCGCTTAATGTCCTTAATTGGGACTGGCAACTGTACCACTGAGTAGGGATCATGTGATTGCCCCATATCTCAATAGAAGTCCTGGCAGTCCTGATTCCAGTTTAAACAAAACATTACATGATGGCATCACATGACCTCCTGCTGGTTTTCCTGTTGACTTTGCCAGCTGAGAAGGTTGCAAATGGTGCTCACATGACTGTAGGGACACTGTGATAAGTGTGAGGGCTGATGATAAGCTACTTTTTCAGCACTGTTGTAACTTTGAACTGCAATAAATAAATAATTGTTAAGCAAGCACTACTTATATCCACTTAATTTTTGCTAGATGGAATGTTTGAATATCAAATAGATACGATATCATGGGGCAGTGTGTATGTTTGCCCATGTCTGATCAGATAATAAGGAAATAAGTATCACTGCAAATAATCTCATTGACTCGGGACAAAGGATATTGGTTAGTGTTCAAATGTATACATTTTTGGCTCAAATACTTTATTTCAAAACTATGATATCCTTTGTCTTGTAAACAAATTTATGTTACTTTATAAACACCTTTGTAGGCTATCGAGATGTATATAGATTCACTGTGTTTACAACCTGATATTGTAAAGAAGAGATTGGACAGCCACTTGTCTGAAAAGGTATAGAGTCTCCTGCTTGAGCAGGGGATTGGACTAGAAGACCTCCAAGGTCCCTTCCAACTCTCTGTTATTCTGTATATTATAAACTCACATCTGACCTAAAGTTTCTTTATAAAATAACAGTCTTCCTTCTGCTTTTCTTTTGTTCAGAAACTTGACCGTAACTACATTATTAGATCTATTGTCTGAATCCTGACCAAATGGGAAAACCAGTCTTATTTTATCATTATGTAGCCATATCATTTTCATATATCATGTTCATACTTGGAGAAGTCCTGCTTTTCATTCAAAGGCAATATAAGTTTGTTGATTGGCGTCTTGGAGCAGTTGGAAAAACCCTCAGAATGCTTAAGACCAAACATTACATTTATTGGACGTTTGTAATATAATTATCCATACTTGCATGTTCTGCTGTAGAAGTCTACCATTTTGACAACTATAGCAGAAGAATAAATTTATGTATTTCATTGATCTTGAAATATTTGGGAAGAACATTTTTTCTCCATACATGAATGAAGTAAAAGTAGATATATCCAGAGGTGGTATTCAGCGGGTTCTGACCAGTTCTGGAGAACCGGTAGTGGAAATTTTGAGAGTTCAGAGAACTGGCAAATACCACCTCTGACTGGAGATTTTACAGTATCTTTCCCCTGCCATACCCACCAAGTCACGCCCACAGAACCGGTAGTGAAAAAATTGGAATTCCACCACTGGCATATATCCTACAATCTAATTTACTCCACAATATTACTTCTCTAGTTTTTACTTTGCTACATTTAATGTTACTAGTGTAAAGTTTCTATGTGAATAAATATAAACTTTGAGAGGATTTTCTTTTTCTTTACTACATTGGAAATCACTGCTGTGTGCATAGAAAGTATCCATCAGCAATGTTTTGCTGATTGAGTTCATGATTTACTATTACTGACTCATCCTTATGATTTAATATTAATAATGGCTAAAGTTGATTAAAAATAAAGCATGTTTGACTTCTTTTGGTAGCTTCTAGTTCAGAACCAATGTATTGGTCAAGCTTTATGACGAGTAGCATGCAGCTTGCAAAGGAATGTCTTAGTCAAAAACTGACAGATGAACAAGGAGAAGGGTCCCAGCCTTTTGAAGGACTTGAGAAATTTGCCGAAACAATTGAAACAGGTACTGTTTGCTTCATAAATTGCAAAGCAGATTAACAGTTAATCGAAAGTATATTTTGTTAATTAAGTCACAATAATTGTCAATTTTTAAAATGTTGTATTATTTAGTAACATATGCAGAAGGTGTTACTGTGTTGTGATGGGACAGGTTTGCATGCATAAACCACTTTCACAATATTTAGAAAAGGGGTTCCAGTGACAATGTTCCAGATGTTCATTCAGCAGTCTCTTGCCCAATATTTTAGCCCTTAAATCTAGTAACAGTCAAGGCAAATTGGTGCCAAATAAGAGTCAAGGGACCAAGGGTAGCTGGACTTACGTCTCTTTTAGGGTCGTAGCGGTTCCAAATGGATGATGAGTTTAACTCCACCCTCAGGCTCAGTCTGGTCATTCCTTCATCAGTCAGCAGATGCTTGGAAATAGTAGTGTCTACTTAGCTGATGCAAGATTATATAGTTTTTTAAGTATTTATTTCCTTCTGGCTTAATATGTGATCAATTATGATTTATAAACTGTAGTTTATTGCTCAGTGTGTTGTGTATTGGATTTGTCTTGATAATACAATTCTGCCTAGTCTGAATCTAGCAGGTGTAACACTATTTCTTATCTTGGTATTTTTACTATAGTTTTAAGAAGAGTGAAAATCAATTTTTTAGACACTGTTCTGAGAATTGAACATGTGCCAGATAATTCTAAAAGTGGAACAGCACTGGAAATTCATATTGAGAAGTAAGTAGGTTTTGTTTATTATTTTAAATGATGTCTGGAAGAGAATCAGTACTTTATGAGATAAAATAAAGGTTATATTGTATTCCTCAATAATAGAAGTTGACATTAATTATGACTAAAGCAATAATGATTAGGGTTTTAAACATGTAAGAAGATATAGGAATTTTGTAATTAAGTTAGTGCATTAATGTTATTAGAGGTTAAGCTGCATATGCTTCTGTGCCCATGTGATATAGTAATGTTTTGCTAGATTTTTATGGAGATTCTCAATCATCCAGGTCCTGGTTGTTCCAAAGGTGCTTTTTCCAAAAGGCAACTGGACTTTCTTGGGGTTTTTTTCTTTGAAACTATTCATGTGATATAAACAAGAAAATTGTAAATTTATATTCTATCCTTATTTCATTATTGATTTCACTGTTTACAGAACAGTGTACTGTGATGAAACTGCTGATGAATGTTCTGGAAATGTGCATCAGCCCACAGCTTTTGCTCACAAATTATTACAGCTGTCAGGCGTTTCTTTCTTCTGGGATGAATTTCAGGCATCAGCAAAATCCTCTCCAGTCTGTTCCACTACACAGTTGGTAAAATACTTTTTCTTTATTATTGTATTTCTATAGCACCAGAAATTCAAATGTCAAAATATAGTTAAATTTCTAATGTTAAAAATGTTTTTATTCCATTATTGCAGTGTTTCTAATTTTGTGCTTGTACTGAAAAATTGTGCACTATAGTTTTGTAATGGCTTGAATACATATATTTCTGTACACAGCCAAGAAAGTGTGCTTATGTATTACCTCTATATTTTTATTTATGTATTTTAAAGTTAACAGAACCAAAGCTTTCACCTAGCTGGAATCCAAAAATTATGTACGAGCCACATCCTCAACTAGCACGAAACCTACCTGAAGTTTCTCCTTCAGATCCTGTGCAAATATGTAAGTTGATTGGAAGGATGGAACTGAGTCTTACATTAAAACAAAATGAAGTGCTTCCAGGAGCAAAGGTTAGTTGTTGATTATAGTCATGTTTTTTTTAAACCCTTGGTACATGATATTCCAGTCTTGGTATAGATATCTCTCTTAATTCTGCATTCCATTTTTCCTTGATAAAGCTTTTTTTGTATATAGTTGAACTCTTGTTTAGTCCACTGTGTAAAAGTGAAGAATAAGCATGTCATAATTATTAAGCCGTTGCATGTACATTATTTAAAATCACTACAGATAATCTGAAATGTGTGTCACTAACTGCTGCATGCTTGCTGTCTAGGGTTTGATCTTTTTTTCTATTTTAAGGCAAAGGGCAAAAGAATCAGAATAAATAAATATAACTAAATAAGAATACATACAATTAAAACAGCAGTGTTTCAGTTATAGATCCAGACAAGAAGAAAAAAATCAAGTTAAATTAGTACAATGTCATTTGTAACATTTTAAAATAAAATTATTTAACTAGTAGCCACCCCTTGTCAAGTTTAATTCAAAGGCAAGAAACAAGTACATTAAGAGCAAAACAATAATAGCTTTTCTTTGAGTTTTTGCAGAACTAAAACTTGTGTGCTTCAATATTAGATAGAGAAACTATTGACAGCAGAAAACAGGAACAAAGAAATCTTTGAAATAATCCCAAAGTGTCAGGTGCAAAGAATCAGGTCTATTTATAAAATTGTAACATAAAAATGTATTCAAGCCTGTACATAAGAATCTGATCAACTAAAGTACAACACTACATTGGTACCAGATAAGGATCAACAGAATTCAGGAGGGTTTGGACTTGGGACACTTGTAGGAACACAGTGACTCTAAACTGATGATGTACTTAACTCCACCTCCACCCTCCTCTGCCTGCTCTTCTCCTATAAAAGGATCTTTTTAAAACATGAGAGCTGGGTTTTTTGGTATCTCTTTAATTAAATCAATGCTACTTGGAGACTCAATTTTAGTCAGCATATAAAGTAGGTATATATACAGTAAAACCTCCACAGTTGCCCACCTCCCTAAGTTGACCATCTCCCAAAGTTGACAGATCAATTGTATCTATAGCTTTTCAAGTACATATTTCCTAAGTTTTACTTGACTTATATGTTGTAATATACCTTGGTGATTCTGAATTTGGTTGTTTTCTTGCAGATGTTTCATTATCCAACTGTGCAACATCATCAGACTGATAATGTTACCTAGTTGGGTAATGAAATGTCTGCAAGAAAACAACCAAGCTTAGAGGGAACCAAGGACTTCCCAGTTCAACCCTGACCCACAAATATTCTTTTCTATTAATATCATATATTTCAGATGTTTAAGCATGTCTGCACATAGCCTTGGAGCTCGGGTTGCTAATTTCTATGTATGTAAAAAGAGATAGTTCAATTTGGAGATACTAAAGAACTTTTATAAACAATTAAGCTAAAACATATAAATGCTACTCAAAAATAATATGCAAGCTGCATTCCAATAAATCATTATATTTCACAGACTATCCACAGTATATTTCATAAGATAAAGAATTAAAAGTTCTGTTTTTGTTCAGTGGCAAGATTGATAACTGAGAAAACAGGTTCTTATAAAATATATTAAATCTTTTTTTTTTAGTTGGACGTAGATGGACAAATAGATTCCATACACCTGTTCCTGTCACCAAGACAGGTACATCTTTTATTGGATATGTTTGCAGCCATTGCCAGACCAGGTAAGTTGAAACTGTGTTGATTCATATGACTGAAATAAAGGGAGCAGCCTAAGTTTTGCATGTTGCCACGGTTTTAAATATTTGCTAGGCAACTTTTAATGGGGAAGCATGGCTGATAATGTTATGCCATCACTGGAACAATGGGGCTGAATTCTTTCAAATATAGGCTTTGAAGCCAAGGTGAGGAAAATTGTGTTTCCTGGGACTTTGGAATTAGATACCTTATTCTTCTATTTTGTGTTTCACTGCAGAGAATCCTGGCAGAATAGAATTATCTAATAAAGACAGAAAAAATCGGCCAATGCAGCAGGAAGATGAGTATCGGATTCAGATGGAGCTCAATCGTTACTTGAGAAAAGAAACTTTGCCAGTAGGCACACAGTCTGATCTGAGTTTTTATGAAGCTGAGGCAGCTAGAACTCCTTCAAGTCGTGGTGAGCAAACAACCCAAACTTCATAGGGTGGGGGCATATTGCTATTTTTATGGGTTTGCGCATAATACTAACTTATGATTTTTAAATCATGATTTGTGGACTTGACCTTATAGAATTAAACATTGCATTTAGCCAAAACCAAACAAGCCACATAATAGTTTAGCATAAATCAGCGACTGAAGAATAGAGTTGTAAGAAATTCAACATTATTTATTTTCTTCATTTCTACTCCTCCACAATCCAGAAGGGTTGACAGCTTGCATTAAAAAGTCATTAAATATTTACAATACAACCCCTGTACAATCAGCAAAACAACACCACTCAAAATGGAAGTATTTTTATGAATAAAAGCCCGAGTAACATCAGTTCATACTAAATATTTTAAAGTCATTGAATAATGTTAAATATCACATCTATTTCAAACGTCTCAGAGTGAAAGAAAAGGATTTAAGCTAAGCACCTAGACATCAGATTTAATTTTTAATATGGTACATTTTTACTAACAGCAATCCCAATGTCACTCTTGTGACATAGCAAGAAACAATGAGACAAAAGTACAAGCATATGTAATATTCAGATTCCACCTTTAAAACATTTGTGTTCCAACATGAATTTGGGAGTGGGGAGAAGTTGGTGTAGAAGAAATTGCAGGTAATCTTAAGTTATGAAGTGGCTTTTAGGGAAATATATATGATTCAATACACAATACACATATATTGTTTTCTTATTTCTCTGTGTGTGACATAATGTATTATTCAATGCTTGTGCTTCTTTTCTAAATTGTGATTCTCTTCCACATAAGACATTACATAAACTCTGGAATAATGCTATTTTTGAGACCTACAGCTTTGTGTATTTCCTTAAATTGTGATTGATTTTTTAATATTGAATGTTACAAACAATATCTACTCTTTTAGAAGAAGAGGTTTTTTTCTCAATGGCTGACATGGAGATGTCTCACAGTCTTTCTTCATTGCCACCTCTTGGAGAACCACCAACCATGGATTTGGATCTTTCTTTAACTAGTACATATACTGCTACCCCAGCAGGATCTCCACTTGGTGCTGCAGTGGTATGTAATACTTAACAGTTTGTATTTGAGTAAAGGAACTTTGTGTGTTTGGGGGTGATTGTGTTTGTAGAACATACTAAGCTAAATTTAGTGAGAAACATGGCCAAAAACATGCATGCCAGTTATCCAACATATAGTCACATTTACTACCCCAGTATCAATCCTGCCTTCTGTGGGTCTGAAACCACATTGCAACACGTTTTGTGCTGGTTAATTGTCCAGGTTTTAATATATGTTTGTAAATAGTAAAGTCCATAATGGCCTGATAGGCTTTGGAGCCAAATGAATGAATTGTGGACAAGCTAATACTCATCCTGCACCAGCTCATTTGTTTCCAAAAATTTGTATTTGTTTGTTTGTTTGTGTTACTACATCTTGTATGCTGTTGTATTTTTAGAGACACTGAACCGCTTACGAGATTTTTATAATAAGATTCAAAACAAATATTGGTACAGTTAAAAACAATGAAAATTGTATGTCACTATTCACACATGGTATAATTTTACTTCTCTCCAGATCCCTTCTGAAGAGTCATATTTTTTTATAGATGTCCAAAATAGTAACAACAAACAAACAAAAAACCACCAGTAAGATGATATCTAGGGGCATACTTTTTAAAGGAGGGGAGCCATTGCTGAAAAGACTTAAGCCCAGGTTCTTGAAGCTGGCATTCCAGTAGTGAGGGGGCTCACAACAAACTCCTTCTCCTGGATCTTGCTGGACAGTCAAAATTACCTTGGAGAATGTGGTCACATATATACAATGCCTGAGCCTGTTAGGGCTTTAAAGGTATATATCAGAATCTTGAATTGTACCCAAAAACTATCTGGCAGCCATTACAATTCCCATACTAGTGGTATTACATTGGTGAACCTTGGTATGATCATAACTGCAGAGATTGCAGTACATTTTACAGCTGAAACTTTTGGATGGCATTCAAAAGCAGCTGCACTTAACCTAATTGTTATAATCAAGCTGTGAGGTGACAAGAGCATTAATGACTGTGAATAAGTGATCTAGGAAAGACTGCAAGAGGCATACAACAAGTAATTGTGCATAGAGACATATGGTTATATCCACCATCTGGAAAAACAAGAGTCATGAGTTCAAATTGCAGCATAGCTCCATCTAGGAGAATGTTGCCCAATATGAAAGATGGGCTATCTTGACTAAATTAGCTTCTCAATTCACAGCTACTCTATCTTGGTAGGATTCAGCTTAAACCAGCTTTGCCATTTAGCATCCAAAAGCTTTCAGTGGTAATCAGCGCAGGGCATCTAGACATATATAATGGGGTGTTATCAGAATATTTATACTACTTCACATTGTACCGGTGCTAGTTCCTATGGGTTTGTGTAGAGTTCAGACAGTAGTGGGGAAGAGAGTAAGCCATCCAAGAACCATAACAGTGTGGCTGAGGGCTTGACTTCTCTGTCCACCATATCTGGAAATGCCCACTTTATGAGTGAAAACCATTGAAGAAAAGAGTACCCACCTTCCAGCTTTTTCAGTCAATCCAGAATAATGTTATCAAAGGTCATCAGATGTTGGACAGAATGGAACCATAATGGTTGTAGTCCTTATATCCAGATCCTGCAATAATCATCAGCAAAAGTGGTGACTGGTCCTGATTGAAAAGAATCCAAATAATACATTTCGTCTAGGGCTCTCCATAAGTGTAGTCTAACCATCTTCTCAGCAACTGTACCTAAGAAATAGTTGGAGACAGTGGTGGGATTCTACCAGTTCAGTGATTGTGCAACTTTCCAAACACCAGCTGAGGCTCTGCCACACGAATCAGCGGAGAGGATAAAGAACAGAAGAGTACAGGGGCAGGTAGGACGGCTGATCCTACACTTTTCTCTTCTTTCTCCTCTTAGCTGATCGTCAGAGCAATTTTTGCTACAGGTTCGGCTAAACCAGGCCGAACCGGTAGCATTTCACCACTGGTTAGAGACCATTGATATTTGTCTATATTAATAATTTTTGAGTAGGAAATACTTTTGACTCTAATGAAATTCAATTACTCTGTCGAGGGGAGGAATAATTCTTGAGTTCATGTTTCAATCCACAACACATTACATATTTTTTGTGGGGGTTGGTTTGGAACAGCTGAGAGGGTGGGAACATTTCTATCATTTATTATTAATAAATAACTTACAGAATGCTGAAATGTTATGCAATGGAAGCATAATAACATTTATGTTCTTATTTTAATAGCAGACAGCATGGGGAGAATTTGATCAAAGCAAGCAGGAAATGCCACAGTTAAGAAATGCATCATTTACACCTAACACTGATCATTCAGTTCCACTACGAAGGACTCGTAAGTGAAAATTGGGGAATAGCATACCTCATTATTCAAAACCAATGTAGCATATTTTTCAACAGGGTGCAATAGAACTTTTCTGTTTGTTTCTTTTAGTGCTGTGAATAACACAATGTATATTGTTACATACAGTTTTAGTTTAAAAATAAAGCTATTTTAGGATACTATGTTTGAAACTGCAGTTTAAACTAGAAGTCAATGTTATTCTCACCTGCTCTTCTGTGTTGTTATTGTTAGTCCTCTGGTTTTAAATCTGAATCAAGATTTCGAATATTTATAATCCAAGGTGTCACAGCAATCTATTTCTTTACTTGATTAAAAGACTTACTGATATAGGTAGTCCTCAACTTACAACTACAGTTCAGCCCAACATTTCTGTGAGACAGTTGTTAAGTGAGTTTTGCCCTTTTTTGCCACAGTTGTTAAATGAATCACTGAAGTTGTTAAGTGAGTGACACAGTTGTTAAGTGAATCTGGCTTCCCCACTGACTTTGTTTATCAGAAAGTTATAAAAGGTTATTACATGACTCCAGGGATACTGCAACAGGGTCATAAATATGAACCAGTTGCCAGTTGAATCTTGATCATGTGACCAGGGAGATACTGCAAGTGTCATAAGATGGTCACAAATCACTTTTTCAATACAATTGTAACTGAATGGTCTCTGAATGAATGGTTGTAAATTGAGGGCTACCTTTAGTAGTACTGGATCCAAACTAGCTGCTGATTTTGGGGTATTTCAAAAGTTCAAATTGAATATTTTGATTTTTTATGTATGAATTTCTGTTAGTTTTATTGGGCTCTTCAGAAAATTTGCATAGCCTATATGGTTTTTGTTTCAACCCCTCCCACATTAGTTGTATTTTCATAATTCTGAGAATGTGAAAAATGCAAGACTGTAACTAAGTTATGTTACTGCCATATAATATATTGCTAAATGTGAATTTGAATATGATATACCACAATTATTTTTGAATGTATTTTTATTATTAATATGCATAAATAAGGTATCCAGTTACCTTCTTATTTATGTAGAGAATTGAGGCATATCTGATATTCTGTTTATTGAAGAAAGTAAGTATAATACATTAAGTATGTAATGTAATAAAATTTTAATTAATACTAATGTTGCTTTCTTAAGTAAACAGCATTTCAAATATGCCTCAACTACATAGATAAGGTATCTAGCTTCTGTATACAATATTTGATTGATAATACATTACAGTAATAATATATTACAGTTGTAGCAATTTAATACTTAAATCTGATGTTGTAGTAATTAAAAGTAATGTTAAATTGTGAAGACATACTATTGGAGATTATTTTAAGTAGTATAATTTTTATTTCATTCCAGCTCTTCCATCCAGATCTATTTCAGTGGATGAGTCAAAACCTGAACTTCTTTTTAGGCTAGTAGTGGGTGCTTTCTCGGTGTCCGTGCTCCATATTGATCCTTTACCACCACCTGAAACTTCACTAAACATTAGCCCGCTAACATCAATGGCACAGGATTTTTTTACCCAGATAGAAAAAATTGATCCAGCTCAGATTCCCACAGAAGATTTTTTGTTGCTTCGAAAAGTATTTGCAAAGGCTTGTTCACATGACCACCTTCGGTACATTTTTTTCTTGTTTATCTAGTAAATGTAACAAACAGAGCCCAGCAATCTATATGAACGATAATAGAGTAACATTAATTTATTGTTTAGTTAATATATAAATTGACATTAAAGCATAACAGCTTTCAAACATAAAAGAGAATCCTGTGAATAGTAATATTTTTTGAGTACCTCCTAAATGTAGTAAGAAAGGGGTTGCTTCAAATCCACAATAATTTATTCCATAATATGGGCCTCACCATTGACACAGTTGAATTTGTTTTTGATATGAAACCTATTATGATAGAACCTGTTTAAAGTGCCTGGTTGATGATTTTAAAGTATGGAGACAAATTTTATAGAAGTATTTTTTAATGTTTGTTTTGTTTGTTTATTTGTATCCAACCTTTATTATTTTTTACAAATAATTAAAGGCAGTGAACATATTCAACCTTCCTTTTCCTTTTTTCCCTACAACAACCACCCTGTGAAGTGGGTTTGGCTGAGACAAACTTGCCCAAAGTCACCCAGCTTTCATGCCTCAGGCAGGACACGAACTCATGGTCTCCCACTTTCTAATCTGGTGCCTTAATCACTAGTTCAAACTTGCCAAATTATTTTTTACCTCTATTTGCAAGATTTTCCACCATTCATGGTCACACAGTAGGCAGTTGGATGTGTTTGGGAGGTTCCTTAATCTGGACTACAGAGCAAGATTTGCCATTATTTCTTTTTTCTTTAAAAAAATACCTTGACCAACTTTTCTCTTTAGTGTCAGATAGCACTTGGAGTGGATTACTTTTTCATGTCCTTGGGATACTGTTGCATATTTGAAAAAAAAAATAGCAAAACAAATGTTTTATTCTGGCAATTAAAATTATGTCTTTTCACAACTTTTTAACAATAAGTAAAAAGTGATTACATGTGTGTTTGTTGATTAATAGTTTTCTTATTTCTCATGTTAGATTTATAGGTACAGGCCTCAAAGTATCCTATGAGCAGCGACAAAGATCAACCTCTCATTGTTTGAATACAGACTTATCTATTGGACAGATGGAACTTCTGGAATGCCTGTTTTCTACAGACTCCCATTCCCAAATTCCTCACTATACAGAGGTACATAAATTATATGTGTGCATTAAGATTTGTAGTTGAAATACACTGAGAAAAATATGAAATTGTACTTATACTTTTATTTATACATAAATTGCAATCAGTGGGTAAATGTGTAAACATAATTGCTTTATGACAATTGACTTTTTGGTAGCTAGATGTTTGGATTGGAAATGCCTATTTGGAAAAAGTTGATCCAGTCAGAAATCATTCTTTCCCAGTGGGGAGAGCTAAGATTATAATATAGTACATATAAAAAGTCTACACACCCATGTTAAAAAAAAAATGCCAGGTTTTGAGATGTAAAAAAATCAAATCTAGATAAATCACTTCAGAATTTTTCCACCTTTAACATATAAGCTGTACAATTCAATTTAAAAATATGGCATTTTAACAGGTGTATAGACTTTCTACATCCCCTTTAGAAATTCATGCCAGCCAGAGCTTTTATAATTTAGCAGTCATAAAATAGTCCAAAACGCTTAACTATTTTTTCCCCTCTCTAAAGTCCTTGCGGCTCTATTTTCTCCAATATCTAAGGGTGTTGCAAAAAGCAAAAAAAAAAAAATCTAAAATCTATTAGATTGCTTTAGATAACCTTAAAAAAGCAAGGAAAATATAAACTCTCTGGGTTGCTTGATAAAAGATCATGTAATGAAATGAGATGAACAATAACATTCTTATTTTCCCCCCAAATATTTTGAGCTTTGTCATTCTGATAATCTAATGAGAGAATGGTAACTACCCAAAAGCAGATTTATTTCCCATTTCATCACCCCATGTCTTCACCTCCTCCCTAGTGTTTTAGAAGGCTGAAAGAAGAATAAGATTAAGGGGATTTCACAATGCCCACGTGGAAACCCATTCACAAAATGGTAGATGGTGTTTTTGGTTTTTCTAAGCTGAATAATAATAATAATAATAATAATAATAATAATAATAATAATAATAATAATAATAATAATAATAATAATTAATTTGAATTATTACCAGTTTTGTTGTCTTTCTTTTAAAGCTCCTTAGGTTTAACTCTGAAAAACAAGAAAACAAGTTACATTCTCCCTCATGCCTTCAACTTCATTACAAGCACTTGGACAACAAAGGGCCTCAGGTAAAGTTGATAAAAATTTCTCTTGAGTTTTGAAATATATAAATATAAATGTATGGAATTGTGTATAAATTATATTTTACATTTGTAATAGGTCTATAGTGTTTTATTAACAGGGTAGCCAGGGGAGACTGAGCTCTGTTCCCCAGAAAGCAGATTTACAAGTCAAGCTGAGTCCAGCATTCTGTGAATTGGATATTAGCATTGTAGACAGACTAAATTCATTGCTTCAACCGCAAAAGCTAGCCACAGTGGAAACTATGGCATCCCATATGTACACTTCTTACAACAAACATATTAGCCTGGTAAGTAGAAAATCATTCTGCTTTACTCGTGTACTGGTTGTGTAATTTTGATTATTTGGTTTGTTGGAAATTTGATGTATTAACAGTTTTGCTTTTTATTTGTGTAATTATTATTAGTCATATACTGTAAATGTCCCCTAGATAATTCAGAGCACTGAACAATAAAAAAGAACAGAGAACAAAAATTTGTATCTTGCGGTAAGATACAAAACAGAGTAAAAACTAATATAAAAATTTCACCAAGGCAATTCAGCAATGATATTAGACAGAATTGCAAATCCTTCTGACTAAACCCCTGAGAGGAAAGCTAGGCATTATGAAAAGCATCACCCTGAAAAGGTCTTTTAGTGTCGTGATTTTTACATATGAGAAGATCTGAAGGTATCTCTTGGTTAGGAGCCTCCTAGAGTTCAATATAAAATGGGCGGCTATACAAAATATTTAAATAAATAAATATACAAATACAAACATTTATTTGTAGTGGTAGTTCTCAACTTATTACCATAAGTGAGTCTGGACTTGCATTTATAAATCAAGGCACCCGCATGATTGGATGCAATTTTCTGGCCTTTTTTGTAATGATAGTCAAACAAAATTCGAGATCATTAAAGAAATGCCACATTCATTAACTAAGCCCATTCATTTGAATGGGCAGGGGAGTGGTTTGGTCAGAAATCAGCAAAATATGCGGAAAACTGACAAATGACATCATGAAACACCTTGACCTGTTGTAAAGCTGACCCATCTGATGTGCGGTCACATGACTACGGGAGGCAATGATGCGATTTGACTACCTGTATACATAAATAGATACAGTAAAGGTATCTAATGTAAATTATAGATATTTAAAAATATACCCCATCTAATGGAAATTATAGATATTTGCTAGAATTCAGAGATCCATAAATCTTAAATCCAACTCTAGTATCTATATACCTGGATTTTATCATCCCTTGCCTAGGTTGTGACATGGGGAAGATGTCCTGCCCTGAGTGAAGGGTTAGTTTGCAAAAACTCCCAGTGTGAGATTAGAAATCTCATAAACAGTTTTATTATTTTTAGCACAATATTGTGTATATAGCAACCATAAGACATACATATATATTTCAATTAAGTTTCCCCCCCCCCCCCATGCTTTAAAAGCAGTGTTTTTTCTTTTATTATGCACTGTTTTAGCATAAGGCATTTGCTGAAATTTTTCTGGATGATTCACGTACTCCCACTAATTGCAAAGTATCGATTCAAGTGACTGCACCAGCGCTGAAGCTTTCGGTTCGCTTCCCAATACCTGATCTACGATCAGATCCAGAACGAGGACCATGGTTTAAAAAATCACTTCAGAAAGAAATTCTTCAATTAGAATTCTCAGACACAGAACTTAAAACGGAATTTACTGGCGGGCCATCTTCAGAGGAAATTCAAATAGAACTCACTTTTAAAGAACTAACTGGTAAGATAAAGAACCAGTAATAGTTTATAATAGTTACTGCCATGAAGTACACGAGATCAGATAACAATAGCCTATTTACTATTCCCTTTAGGAAGGGAAAGGGAAATAATTTTATACATTTAGCATATAAGTGAAAATGATTAATTATAACTTTAAATAAAGCCCTTATGTTTTTGTTGTCTTAAGAAAGGGATAGGGAACTATGACACTTATATGACTTGTGGACTTCAACTCCCAGAATTTCTGAGCCAGCCATGAACTCCAGTTGAACTCCAGAAGTCATAAAGGGGCCATAGCTCCCCACCTCTGTCTTAAGAGGACATAATCTGCAACTTACAGGATAGCTACTGTTCTATGCAATTGAGAATCATGGTTACAAAACACTATCGTGTTTCTCATATAATAAGGCCGGGTCTTATTTTTTTTTGAGTCCCGAAAAAATGGCTAGGCTGTCTTTTCGGGGGTGACTTAATTCCCCCCTTGCATCTTCGGGCAGGCGGGCGGCGATGGCTTGGATGTTGACCTCGGTGTTGGTGGGGCACTTTGTATCAGGGTCAACGCAGGCAGCACCATATCCGGGTGTGCAACAAAAGTACTTCCTAACAGCAAGTCCCCCCGCCATTTCCCCCACATTTCACATGTTTTAATATAGGCCTTAATTTGGGGGGAGGGGCTTAATTTCATTTCATGCCTATAAAACATGCTGGGACTTCCTATTGGGGGAGGCCGTATTGTTGGAGAAACAGGGTATTTTCTTGTTTCTGATGGACGTAAAGACAAAACAATTCTACTAAGTTTCCTGTATGGTTTGTTATTGCTTCACTACTGTTCATAGGAACATATGTAATGATTTTCTCTGTTTTTGTTGCAGGGTCATTTGAAGAGAACAAAGATCAATGTGCTACACAGTTTTTAAAAGTTTCTAGTGGTATTCTTGGAGAAATGGTTTCATCAGACAATTTTGACTGGCCACGGTAAAGCAAGATATTTAATCTTCCTCCTACATTTCTTAAAATGTTGATACACTGTCACACAATGCGTGTTTCATTCATTCCCTGTGTAAATCTTCAGTTTTCCTACCCAAAACCATGTTATTAAAGCCAAATTAGCTATATTCTGACAAATTTGCAAAAACAGTTGAAAGCGATTGTAACAGTTAGATATTGCATTTTTAAATTTATATTTATAAATTGGACATGTCCCCTATTGCTATGGAGATGTTTTTCCATATCCCCAGGGTAAATATTTCGCAAGTCAAGCATGGAACTCTATGCTTCTATGGCAATGACTAGATGGCTCTCTTGGCAATAATATGTTTAAATTTCCTACTTCAATTTACACCTTTGCGATTTTCTGGTGGCCCCCTATCCAATTATTAAGAAGATCTGATCATGCTTAGCCTTTTTCAGATTTGCCAAGATCAGTTAGGTCCCATCATCTCAATCCATCATAACTGCTGCTAAGATATATATGTTACAATAATTTAAAACAAGGGTTCCCAACCTGTGGCTGCGGTCTGCTACCAGGCTGTGGTCTGTTGGCCACCGGGCCGCATGAGTGGCTGGCCAGTGTGTGTGTGTGTGCGCACCCCACTTGCGCTTCCATTGCCATGAGTGCCACACAGTCGCTACTGTTGACACAGGTGTCACTCATGCACATGCACAAGTAAAGGCACCTGCCCCCCACCTCCGGGCTGCCACTCCAGAAAGTTTAGGGAACTCTGATTTAAAACATGAAGGATAAAAATATCTTTGAGACACTTTACAAATTAGCACATCATGTTGTGGGCTTATAAAGACATTAAAATATGTGAAATGTTAAAAATGAAATGAGAACACTCGACAATACAAGATGAAAAGGGGTGCTATAGAAAATGGAGTAAAAAGGATATATGATGTTTCCTGCTTACCTTTCATAACAATTCATTTAACTGTTTTGGGAATTTGCCATGTTAATTTTCTTGTTTGGAAAACAGGATTGTACTGAAAATAAACCCACTTGCTGTACACTCCATTTTGGAAAGAATGGCTCCAGAGGAAGAGGAGGAAATTGATGGTCATTTTCATGAGGAAGAAGGAGGATGTCAATCCCTGAAGGAGCTGTGTGATCTTAGAAGACCAGAACCATCTCCCTTTTCCTCTCGTAGAGTAATGTTTGAGAATGAAGAGGTAGGATGAATATTCAAGTTTAGATATCATTTGTATGATTTGGGGGGTTTACATAGTGGGTTTTTTTAAGCGTATTTGTATCATAATCTCAAAATGTAGAAGCATAACTAACAAAACTAACACAAAGAATAATGCCAAGTAAGCACAGCCTGATTTCAATTTAGGAACTTAGAACTAATTCTGTTCTGCTTCGTTTACAATTATATCTTGAAGTTGTTGATAATAAAATACTGTAAAACACAGTATTTGTCCATCCATCCCTAACATTTCTAGCCTAAAGAACAACTCTGGATGGCTTCACAATCAAAAATAGAAAACAATAAAATATAAGAAAAATATGGCAATACCTTGAAGGAAGCAGATAGAAAGAAAAACAATCATCATACCTGTCTTAAACAGCCTGACCACTGATGATGTAATGCTTAGAGGAATAGCCAAGTTTTAAAAGTTCATTTAAAGGAGAATAGAGTGAAGGCTTTGTGAATCTTCAGGGGTATACTATTCCAGAGAAGAGGTACAGCAACAGAGAAGATTCACTTCCTGGATGTGGATTAAAGGCATAGAGACCTGAGATATCCATAAAACTTTTGGAATTGACCCTCTGTCCCTCTAACAACAACTAGAACCAGCCAAGGAGACCGAAGAAGAGCCACCATAATACAATACACTCCCATTCCATACAATTTTTTTGAAAATATTTTTTGGGCATGGGTTCTCTAGGGCTAAAAGTGATTAGCTCAAAGGTGCTCATCTGACTTTGTGCTTTTTAATACTAGATAGGAAATAATTATGCACTGAAGTAATCTGTGTTCAGTTTTGCTTTTGAAAGAGCTGCTCTTAGAGTTTACAGGGGATGATCATATTGCCAGAAATCTTTTTTGCTTAGTAGAAATATTTTGTGTTTTTAAATGTTCCCCAGCTCAAATGATTTGAGGATAGATCAGCTGATACTAGCTCCTGTACACAGGATGTAATAAGCCATACCCTCCCAAACATAGAATTAATCTTCCTAAGCACCCAACAGTTCTGCTCAATTAGGAAGGGGTTCATTCCTTCCTAGATATAGCTTCTGAGGTGGCAGATCTAATAAACAGTATCACTATGCCCAGTAAGCATGCTTTTGAGAAATGGCTTGTACTTTAGTGTACTGGATCTTTTCATTGATTAATTATCATAAGCTGCTTAGCAAACATGAAACCCCATTTAGCATGGTTACAAACTATTTCCCTAAGACAAATCTGTATAACAATTAGAATTGCCAAAAATTTAATTATGAACTTTATTGTATACCTTAGCCATGTAAGACAATGATGGTCATTTAGAATATTACACTTCAGGTACTTTAGCAGGTGTCTAGATTTAGAGCTCCCCTGCAAAACAAAATTATTTGATTTCAAAACTTCTTTATTTTTAGTTGGTATATGAACATGTCTCTTAAGATGTCTGTTCTTTGATTAAATATCAAATCTGGGTTGAAGAAACAACAAACATAATAAATATTTTAGCCATTTTAATTTTTAAATTGAATTAAGTTTAAGATTTATCTGAAAATATGCCCATTTTTTCTGGAAAGAAGATATCCTAAAATTGATACTAGAGCTTGCATTTCTGTTTGCATTTTTGGTTTTACTATTTATGTCTCTGTGTTATATTCCCCATTTGTTTCATTTCTAGATGGTGATGCCAGGAGATGCAGTGGAGATGACTGAGTTTCAAGATAAAGCAATCAACAATTCCCATTATGTGTTAGAACTCATGTTGCCAAATGTTTATTTAACATTACCAAACAAGAGTTTTTATGAGAAACTTTACAATAGGCAAGTATAAAAACAAAGGTCATTGAGATCCATCGGAGGCATTTTGAAATAAAAATCTGGGAAGGTAACTTTCTTCCCCTGCAGCCCCTATGACATCCTCCACATGATCCTCAGAATTTCTCAGCCCCCTGAGAGATATTTTCAGCAATTACTGGAGAGTGCAGGATATTTAGTTTTTCAAAGAAAAAGCATGAGGTGTTTTGGAGCACCAGCCTATAAATTGATTCCTGATTTCTGGCAAATATCTGAACCATATTCATATTGGTTATGTATGTGTCTGTGCTATTTCTAAAGAAGTATATTACAGTTGTAATACTGTTGACTTACAGCAGTTCATTTAGTGCCCGTTTAAAGTTACAGCAGCACTGAAAAAAGTGATGACTATTTTTCACATTTACGACCATTGCAGCATCTCCATGGCCACATGATCAAAATTCAGATGCTTGGCAACTGGTTCATATTTGTGACCGTTGCAGGGCCCGAGATTATGTGATCACTTTTTGCAACCTTCTTACAAACAAAGTCAATAAGGAGCAGATTCATTTAACAACCATGTTACTAACTTAACAACTGCAATGATTTGCTTAACAACTGTGGTAAGAAAGGTCATAAAATGGGCTCACTTCACAAATGTCTCACTTAGCAACAGAAATTGGGCTCAATTGTGATAATAAGTTGAGGACTAACAGTACACATTCACATGTTGAGTTGCAAGACAGTCACCCTTTTTGTCTTGTCTTAATGTTTCTTCCTAATCATTTGACAAACGTAACAAGTAAGAGAAGGAAAGCTAAATTACCAACCTATATTTATCGGACGTACAGGTGTTTCTCTGATGCACAGGTTCACTCTTCTGTTAATATATACTATTGATTTTCATGCGGTTAATAATTTTAAAAAATATTTTTCCACAACATAGATTTGTCATGATTGATTATATTCCCATATCCACTTGGAATAATATCAAGAGTTTTTTCTTTCTTTGTAGGATTAGCAATGATCTACTATTGTGGGAACCCACAGCTCCCTCTCCTGTAGAAACATTTGAGAATATCTCATACGGTGTTGGGATTTCAGTCGCCAGCCAGCTGATCAACACATTTAGTAAAGACAGTTTTAGTCAGTTCAAATCTACTATTCATTATGGTAATGTATTGCATAAAATATATATCCAATGTTATTCTGCTAAACAAAAATATGAGTATGTATTTATGGTAATCTGTTTAAAAGAATTTAAGAATTCTGGGAAAATCTGTGCATAATCTGTGCATCAATATTCTCAACCTAAGTATATTGTCCACCTAAGTATACAGTTAATCAGTTATCTTGATTAGTTTCACTAATTAGATATTTAATTGGTTTTATAGATGATGAGAGTGGATCTGAGGAAGAAACATTACAGTATTTCTCCACTCTTGATTCTAATTATTGTTCCCGGAGAAGGAAAAAAACTGAATTGCAAAACAGAAGCACACAGAATTTTCTTTCACTTTTTTTAAATATAAACCATGGATTATTATCAATATTCACAGATATCAAGGTGAGATACCTAAGTAGGAATGATTCGTATGGGTTGGACTAGTGGGGTTTTATGTATAAAACATTATTTTGGTATGCTGACATTTGGCAAAAAAACATTTTTTTTCTTTTTTTAAAAAAAAAACTCCCAAAACTAGCTGTTAGTACAGCTGTTAAGGAAGCATTTGGGAAGTCCAGAGCTATTGATTATATTGAGAAGAAAAAAGATATCCAGAAGGCAGAAGATAAAATTTCAATAATACTGCTAAGAAAGCTGCATATTATAGACAGACCACCAGGTGTCAGGATCAGATCAAGGTTGTTTTTATCTTTGTGTATTAAGCAGCATAATACTCTTACAAACAATACAATTCATTCTAAAACAAAGGCTATCAGATTCAACGAACGAATAATGTTAATATATCTTTTTCACTGTTTCTGTAGCAGGATGATGGAAGAGTATTCGAAGACAAACATGGAGAATTTTGGTTTGAATTTTGTAATGGTTCTTTATTTTGTGTAACCAAGTACGAAGGTTTTGAAGACAAACATTATATATGTCTCCATTGTAATAGTCTCAACTTATATCATCAAGGTATGGAATTGAAATGTTAATGTAGAATATGAATTTGTGTTTAGCTTTTTGAAAAGAAGGATTAGTGAAAGTCATAAAATGTATTACAATTTTTGAAAAAACAAATGCATACATCTAGCTTTTTTGCTAGTATTAAAAAGATTCATTTTGTACTACTGTGTTGCTAAAAATAGAATTATATTTAATTACACTTCATTCAGAACTTTGGAGCTAGGAGTTTTTAAGAATATAGCATGACTTTAATTTTGCTTATGGAACAAAAATTAAAAGGTCAATAGTTGATGTATTTATTTATCCGTTCCCATTTGTATGCTGCCTAATCTCACAACTCATCCTTTGATATCAATTAATCAGATATCAATTAATTAGAATTGTGGTTTATAAAAATTATATATACAGAGAAGGATGGAAATAATTTGGAATAATTATGTCAAAACTAGATAGCATAATGTTTTTGATTCAGTTTGTAAGAGGTGCTTTCAATAGCAATAGCAGACTTATAGACTGCTCCATAGTGCTTTGCTTCACTCTGAGCAGTTTACAAATGTCAGCATATTGCCCCCAACAATCTAGATCAGGGGTGTCAAACTGGCACCTTGCAGATCACATCATGTGCAGGCCACACCCACCCCAGTTCTGCAAAAGCAAAAAAGTCACAATACACCATGTGATGTCACGTGACATGATCAAGTTTGACACCTATGATCATAGATCCTTGTTTTACCAATCTTGGAAGAATGGAAGGCTGAGTCTATCTTGTCAGATCTGGAAACTTATCACTTTTCCAATAAATCCCAGGGAGGTCCTGCATTCATACTCCTGCTTGTTCCATACAACTTTTTTTAAACACACCTGAAGCATTACCCAATCAAAATAAAAAGTAAGAGTAAAATTGTACTATACTTTTAAGGTGTGTGCACCTTGGTACATGAAAGTAATAGGAATGAATTCCTCAGTTCCATTTGAATCATTTTATCAGTTTTCCTGATAGAAATATATTCTGGCATGTCCACACACAAGTCCTAGGAAGGGCTTCAAAGCAGCTGTGGCAAGCTTTCCAACAGCTACTTTACTACACAAATACAGAGGGCTATTTTATCTTCAAGTAATGCACCTCACATAGCTCTATGAAAAGGTCTATTGATGAGTGTGAAACAGAATTATGTTGATAATTTTCTAGCTTGATAGTAGTTAACTATGTCTTATGCATTTAGAATATAAGTGGAGGATGTTAGTCATTAGTAGGTTTATTGGAGTATTTCTCTGGGCTTCTACTGCCAGAAGGAATCTGTAATGTACTGTATTCTAATTTTTAAAATGCTTTTTCTGATTTTTTTGGTGTTAATATAAGTAGTTAATAAATTGTTGATCTTTGGTGAATTTTGATGTGTAGTAAAATATATTGTAGAATTTTTTTTTATTTGTATATAATAGAAAATGGATTGTGCAATACTTTAGAGCAAAGACAAAAAGGTGCTTTGGCATGTAGTTGAAGTCTCATTGTGCAAATCCATAAACTAAATGTGTCTTCCTGGAATTGCATAGCAACTTCATGAGTTCCTAAGAAAAGGTGTGATTTAAAAAAAAATGTTGCAGACAAGTGCCACATTTGTGTTCCCATACACCTTTCGTTTTTGAATAGCATTCACAGTCACTATGAATATTACCAGACTTTGTCTATCTTCATTTATTCTGAAAGATAGAATCTGTGCTTTCATTCTACATTCCAAATTGCTTTAAGTAATAAACAAATCCTTTTGCAGGAGTGGTAGAAGAGACAGTATCTCTGTCTGAAATAAAACTGCCAAGTGCAACACATCCACATTGGCTAGAACCTACTGTTTATTTTTCGGAAGAAGAAGGTTCTAATACAGCTTTTTCAGACGGTGTAGGAGCAGAAAGCTTAAGCATGTTGTCAGTTGCCGTTAAAATACAGTCAAATAAATCAGAAACAAATACAAAGGTTTGTATTTAGACTTAACTTATTTATCTGTCAATACAGTTATATTTTGGTTTTTCTGTGAGAGCTTAGGATAGCATATAGAAATATCCTCCCCACCCCCCCAATCCCGGTGCCCCATTTTATTCTCACAGTAAATTCATGGATAAGATTGTATTATGGGAAAATGACTGGTAAATAAAGTCAGGTAGGAATTTGAACCCATAACTCTATACATTTGGCCCTGCTTGATAGGGCTACCTTGACTTCTGGTCCAACAATTCTGGAAGGTACCACTTTATCACTACACTATAAAGTCTTTGAATTTCCAGTCAGATAGTAACTTATTGTACTGTGTACATAGTTCTTGTTATGGTACTAACATTATTAGCATTGTTAATGTCAGAGAAAAGATAGGTTATGATGTTCATTTAATTCCAAGCATTTCAAACCATTAAACTAACTAGATATACTTTGTTTTCTAGGAGTTTTTAGTTGCAGTTGGGTTAAGAGGAGCCACTCTGCAGCATAGAGTGCTTCCTTCTGGTTTAAGCTGGCATGAACAGGTATATCACTTTGCTAATTGTTTTTTGTTTTCAATTACTCAGTTTAATGACCTCACAGCCAAATTAAACAACTGAGAAACATTATAGATATTCTCCACTGAGTTGACGGGAGAATCCAGGTTGGGTAGTCTTTAGTCTCGTTGCTCTTCAGACTGAGTTGAATACTGAGGACACGCCTCCCTGATAACGGTCCCCAGTTTTCAACTCAGTCTCTGCTCGTTCAGATGTCCCTTAAGGACTCTGAAGATCTTGAGTTTTAAGAAAGAGACTTGTATTACTAATCCCTGGATCTCCCATGGACACCGGAGTCAGTTGGAAAGGTTTGACAGCTGTCCGACTTAGTTGGGACACCTGCCCTTTGTTTTTTCGCGCCTTCGTATTTTTGTGCCTTTTTTATTTTTGTATAAACCTTTGGAGGTGGACCTAGTCAGGGCCCCAGGTTATCCCGTGTTAATGGGATGGGGGCTGGAGTCACTGCCCAAACTTTCGATCAGGCTTGAAGCGAGTTTGACAGCCACAGCAGCTGCAAGTCATTTAAGCCTGCCATTAATTCAGCGGCCGACTCAGGTCCTACAGGCAAGCTCCTGGACAGTATCCAGAAGGAGTCTGTTCTGGATCTAGTTGTCTAGTCAGACTTGACAGGTCCCCGAATCGCCGCGGCAGCTGTGAGTCACATAAGACTGTCTGACAGATTGTGGCACAGCTATGTTCTCAGATATTAACAATTAGATAAAAAAGCCTAATGACAACTTAAATATGCTCCATAGAATGCAGAGCATATATTGCTAAAAAAAGTAGGGTGGGAGAATGACATGACTTACTTGAAAGAAAATCTACATCCTGCACAATATCATCATTTTTATGGAGAATGTAGGTCATCCTTGTCTTGTTCAGTGACCATTCGAAATTGCAAAGTTGCTGAACAAGAGGACTTATGACTTGAGGATATGGCCATTGCAACACCCCAAGAGTCATAATTGTGATATTTGCTATACTTTTGCACTTAAAACTAGTTGTCAAGTGCCCCATGATTATGAGATCACCATTCGCAATCTTCCCTGCCAGCTTCCCCAGAAAGTGAAATGCCTCTGTCCCCTGCTAAGAGAACTCCCTCTAGTTTCAGCGGGTTGGTGAAAAGGGTTCATGCTGAAATCCAAGCAGGATTTTTAGTCATGGAGGAATTTCAGTTTTGGAGCAGAGAAACTTGTCTCTCCACTCAGAGCTAAAAATCCTGCTTGGATTTTGGTAGGGAGGATTTTCAACTCTGGATCAGAGAGACTTGCAGTGCTTCCATAGCCTCATTCTCTAAACCACGCAAGGCTTGCAGAATAATGCATGGTGGCTTTTGGAAAGAAGGCCTGGCACGAGTACGAGCTGTCTCAGATTTGTTGCACAGGCCTTTTAGGAGGAGGAGAAAAATAGCTGAAGGTGAGTGGTGCAAGGTAGATCGGAGGGGCAGCAGCCAGGGCAATCACGCTGTCCCCTCAGGCTTGTACACTTTGAAGAAGAGTGCATATTTGTCAGTGGCAGCAGTAGTGCTAGCGGTGAATATGAGCCCTGGGAAAGTGAAAACTGGCTGAGACTGCTGATGGTTTGGGGTTTCTGTTTTGAGCGTCAGTCCCAGCATTACAACCAAATGCTGCAGGGCACACAGCCTAGGTCACAAAGGAAATAGGTGGACATGGGAAATTGGGCAGCATTTCACAGTGGCAGCAGTCATGGCCTGGGAGTAGAGGCAAGTGGCAGGGACTGCTGAATGCTTACAGGCCTCTGCATCAATGTTGCTGCCACCAAGTGCTGCATTTCATTCCTGAACATGCGCACTGTCTCCACTGATCCTCCCCCACCCACCTGAGATACTTCATTGCTCCTTGGGACTGTATCTACTTAATGTCTTACGAGTTCACTTCGCAGCCACAGCTAGGATTGCAGTAGTTGGGCAAACTGGTCAAGTGACATCTTGCTTAACCACCACTTTACTGAGTGATCGAGATTCCAGTCCCAGTCATGATCATATTGTTGAGGACTACTTGTAATATGGGATAAAAGAAAAATTTATAAAAATGTATCTTAAAAGCATTGCAGCATTTTAATTTTGCGGTTATTTTTCAGTATCTTCATTTTCTAACTTCATAGTATTATTAATTAGTATTAAAATGTGTTTTTAAAAAAACTGGTCCGCAACCTCAATGAGTTCTTATAAGCTCAAATGAAAGATTCTATCCAGAAAGAGTTTAGCAGAGCTCTGTTATACTCCTCAAAGTATATTCTTGTTCTCCCCCATCCCTGAGGCCTGGGTGCCTCCTAGAAACCTGGAAGATTTTGCTCTAGCATAGTAAGGAACAAAATTTGAATGAGCAAAGCTGCAGCAGGATAGTAAAACTGCAAGCTACCACTGGGTCTCTTATTTCACTTTTTAATATATGTTGTAAAATGGCCTTAAATTGTAATTTTTTACAATTGTAATTGTAATTTGAAATCAATGGGTCTACTTTTATGCTTTTGTAATTGTAGATTTTGTATTTTTTGAATATTTCTGATGAACCTGTATTGGGATATAATCCTCCAGCCTCCATTACAACATTCCACGTCCATCTCTGGAGTTGTGCTCTGAATTACAAGTAAGTTAAATGAGAAGAATATTCAGAGTAGCATATTATGGCGATTGTTGTCAATCTTAAATCTCTTAAATACTTTGATCCAAACTTTTGGAAATAACTGGTAGGATTTTTTTTTTTTTTGGCAGGCCTTTATTTTTACCAACTAGATGTCTTCTTACTGTTGAAACATTTAGCATTTCAAGTAGCATGGCACTGGATAAATCATCTTCTACTCTCAGGTAACACTTAAAAGGCCAACAGTTTCATTTTTACCTTTATATTTGATTTTAGGTGTTATGAAAATATAAAACCATATATGAGGATGAAGATGAACTTTTAATGAAATTCAATGTTTGAATTTTTCATAAGTAACAAAAATCCATTGTAAATCTATAATTGTTCATACTTGTTGAATCATCCATTTTTTGGCCATAGTGACTTCTGTTTTTAAAACATGAATTTGGAATTGAGAAAAGAAATAGGACAAAACATGTGGTATGCATATATTCTTGTTTTAAAATACTTGTAGGATTTTCAGCAAACACAATTTAAACTTTGAAAAGTTTTTTCCCCCTACATGTTGTCCTTCCCTTGGTTTCTGGCCTACAGGATTATAGTTCAAAGACATAAACATGTGGTTTTAAGGAAGCTTTGACTACATTAAAACTTAAACTGGTATTCGAACAATCACATTCTTGTTGTAGTTTCTCATTTTTTCCTGACAACCAAAGACTTTATTTGGCTGTATGTAGTTTTTTGTGACCTTCCCAGCTGCAGTTCAATGAACAGTGCATGTCAGTTTTGTTTTTACTTTGGGAATCTATTTCTACTTGTAGTTAAACTGCCTTATCAGAACAAACTCAATAACAGTGCAAAGTTAAAAAGATGATTACATTTGTATTCTTTAGTCAAGTGGTTAAATGCATCATTTATTTGTATACCAAATACACAATTTAGGGTTTTTTGGCTGTAGGATAATCTTGGATGAGGCTGCTTTGCATTTATCTGACAAAAGTAATGCTACTGTGAATCTCCAAAAAGGTAAGAGTATTTCGTATTGGAAAAGAACCTGGAGAATCAAACATAACCAATTAGGATATTGAAAAGTGTTACAATATTAAGCATATAGAATTGGTTAGTAAAATGTCAATTGGATCTCTAAGTTTTCTTGAGTACATTAAGACTCTGTAGCCATCATTTAATCTTAAAAAACATGTGGTGGCAAATAATGGACGCTTTGAAGCTACCGTGTTTCTCATATAATAAGGCTGGGTCTTATTTTTTTTTGAGCCCCGAAAAAATGGCTAGGCCGTCTTTTTGGGGGTGACTTAATTCCCCCACCTTGCATCTTTGGGCGGGCAGCGACAGCTTGGATGTTGACCTCGGCGTTGGTGGGGCACTTCGTATCGGGGTCAATGCAGGCAGCACCATATCCAGGTGTGCAACAAAAGTACTTCCTAACGGCAAGCCCCCCCACCATTCCCCCCCATTTCGCATGTTTTAATATAGGCCTTAATTTGGGGGGAGGGGCTTAATTTCATTTCATGCCTATAAAACATGCTGGGACTTCCTATTGGGGGAGGCTGTATTGTTGGAGAAACAGGGTAAAACTCATGAAAGTCTAAAATGAGCAGGACCAACTCAGATTTAAGGTACTCTTTTACTCAATGCTTCATTTGCATGTTTTCATCTACAATAACAGGCCATCGAAACAGATTTCAGAGATTCATTCCTTCTTTATCTTTCTATCCTTGCACATACACATTCAATTATTTGCCTCACTTCCTTATTTTTTTTTCCTGTTCTTGCTTTCCTATCCAATTTGGACAGTTTCCTTCAGGCTATCTGCAGACAGTTCCATGTATGCATCCATTTACCTTCCCTTCTGCTCTCTATTCTTTCTTGCTGAGTCAGGAAAAATGTTTATTGTTTTTCAGCCTAGCAGGAAAGGAATCATAGCAGGGATACAGAATATTTGATTGAAAAAATATGCAGGAGGGGAGAGTAGCTTGGACACTGACTCTTGGACACGTAATGGCGATATATGTATATGCTAATTAAATTCATTCCCAGTAAGAAGTGAAATAACACCCCTTAATGATGAATGCAGTGTCTGTTGATTTATCTGCTTATTTTCTCTAGATTAGAATGGGTTTGAATATTAATTATAATACTATTTTATATCAAGTGAGAAGTGCAGGTGGCTTGGACAAATAAAGCTAAAAGGCCATTAAGTAGGAGGAAATCACAGTATAACCTCAATTTAACTGACCCCCTTTTAATAGTCATTGGATGCAACTGAGCAAACAACTATTTAGGATTCACCCCAGAAATAAAGAAATCTGTTGTTGATTAAGTTTATTTGCAAATGATGTAAATTGGTACAAATCACATTAAATTATGTATTATATAATAGAGAAAATGACAAAAGTTCAAAATTGTTAGGGTCTATACTATATATTAATATGGAAACTGAATTAAAATGTGTGATGATTTAAGTAGTTTTCTTTTTTAAAAAAAAAAAAAAGTATTAAAACAGTTTTATAAATATATATTTTTATTCTTTTTTTCCCCAGATTATGTTCAAGTTATGGATATGGGACTGTTGGAACTGACCATAAGGACAGTGAAATCTGAATCTGGTGAAGAGAGGGTAAATTAAAACATAAAAACTACATTATTTATTTACAATTTTGACAAAATAAGGCTAATTTTGAACATACATAAAACACACACTGACGCATACACGCACACACACACATCTTTAGGGGACTTATTTACAAATAAAGAGGGGTTTATTTACAAAGTAAAATGAAAATCGGTAGTAGTAGAATTGTATTGGCTTCCCTAACATACTCTTTTTCCTAACATACTCTTCCCTAACATACTCTTTTTTCTTATCTTATGTTTTTTATTTTTATAAAAGGTGGTGAATATATCTTAATACTCTTTCCTTCTCCTATTTTTACCCCACAGTAGTAACTTTGTGAGGTGAATTGGACTGAGAAAGTGACTTACCCAAGACGGCTTTCATGCCTAAGGTGGAATTGGAGCTCACTGTCTCCTAATTTCTAGCCTGATGCCTTAACCACTAGACTTGGGGGTCTTCTAAGCATATATGTTTTGTTTGTTGGTAAATATGAGTGTGTGTAGTTTTCATAGGGATCAAAAATGTTTTACTTGTTTTACTTTCTGTTGCCCAGAACAATCCATATTTTGAACTACATTGTTCTAGTGACGTTATCCACATTCGAACATGCTCAGATTCATGTGCTGCATTGATGAATCTTATACAATATATTGCAAGTTATGGTGATTTGAATCCTCCTGCTAAAATGGAGTGCACTTCTGGAGTGACCAAACAGAATGTAAAGGTATGAATATATATTTCTCTTAACCCGTAAACCCCCCACCCCCGGCAGGAATCATATAATTTTCATTATTTACTTTTGTCCAGATTAATGCAATTTATTTATTTATTTATTTGAAGGGGGAGAAGAAATATTTTCACTTCATCTTAATTTACTAAGACAATGATTGGCAGATGTAGAAGATACATTGACACATAGATATATATTTTTTTCATTTTAGCCTCTAGTTATTTCTAGAAAGAAAGTTGTTGTTTTTTTTAAAAAAAGTTTAACTTGCTTGATGGATTTTGCAGGCCACACACAATTTTTTTTTAGAAAACAATGAACAGTTTGAAACTCCTAGTTAGATTTTTTTCTGTTATTTTCTTATTTTATTATGATAGTCACACATAAACTTTTCTCAAAACAGTGAGTAAAATAGCGATTTGAATAGACTAGATTTCCACTTTTAGTTGTACCATGCAGGAAGTATTCTCTGATAACATTAAGCAACTTTCATCATATGATAAAGTGTAAAGATAAAAATTCTATTTTTATAACCGACTTGTAGTTTTCAATGTCATGTTTTACCGCTAGGATTACTGTCCTTACAATTTTACATACACAGTGCTTTTATGTTATATTTGTTAATTCCATGGCTTTTATGTTTATGCTGATGAAAACGTGAGATAATGATATTTTATAGTACTGTAAATAAGTGAGAACAGTCAAACTTTAAAATCAGCAAGGAATGTTGTGGCATTTTAAAGTATATCACATTTATTGTTAAATAATCTTTCATCAATGACAGATTATTTTCTGAGATACTGAATGATAGTTCATCAAAGCTTAGATTACTATAAATGTATTAGTCTGTTGTAATTAAAACAGTAAAGGATTTGCATTATATGATAGACTTACTTCTTTGAAAATAATCAGTGGTTCATTTCATTTACTTAAAAAATGGTACTCATGTTCTTATTTATATATATTAATGTTTTAAATAAGACAGCTAAACCAAATAAAGATGGAGGTATTTGGACACTAGATCACCAAGTTGGTTTAAACAACTTTAATCTTGTAGGTCTCTTAATAATATATGGAGCAGTAGCCTTAAGATATCTTTGGATTTTAGGAGTAACTTCTGAAGAAGTTTGTTGCATGTCCATTTCAAATTTGGTTCTGTATAATCTTGTTTAGGCAGAAGCTTCCAGTTGCCCACCTTCTCAAGGGCCAGTTCTTGCTGAAGCTGATCAACAAATTTTACGTGATTTAATGAGTGATGCTATGGAAGAGATCGAAACCCAGCAGTTGCTTTCCCCCTCTAACCTACAAGCTAATGGTAAATCTATTTGGACTTTATTTTTAATCAAAAGCTATTTAAGTTTCATATTTATTTTTTTGAACACATTGCATTATGCTTATCATTTGCACACCTATGAGTATTAAATGCTTTATTAACATTTTAAGATTAAAAATTAATAGAAACTTATTCTATATTAAGACAAAAGAAATAATTGAAAAGGCTAAGAGTGCAAAAGCAAAGGAAGAAAGAAAATAGAGTTGTGGTAGCACAGTGGTTAGAATGCAGTACTACAGGGCTAGCTCATTCCTCAACTCCAGGAGTTCAATTCTGAGTGGCTCAAGGTTGACTCAGCCTTCCATCTTTTCGAGGTCGGTAAAATGAGGACCCAGATTGTTGGGGGCAATATGCTGACTCTGTAAACTGCTTAGAGAGGGCTGTAAAGCACTGGGAAGCGATATATACATCTAAGTGCTATTGCTATTGCTATTTACAACAGTTATAAATACAATTATAAATGTACCTCTTGTTCTATGGTTAGAACACAACTCTTATTTTTTCTATAATTATTCTTAATAATCAAAACCATAAATCATAACTATATTTTTTGTTTCATGCAACAAATCTATAAGGGGTTTCTGATCAGCCATAAACATATTGTTTTTTTCTCTGATTAAAGAGTTTGGCCATTTCTTCAAGGTCATCATCTTCACCAAGCATTGCTCCATTGTGGGTGATACTGAATCTTTCCATCTTTCTGTGTATAACAGTCTTGCTGCAATGATCATATATAAAAAGAAAGGAACATATCCTTTTCCAATTGTTTGTCCAGTCTTAAAAGAAAAGCCCTCAGTTTCAATTAAAATCCTCAGTTAGTGTATTGAATCTAAAATTTTCTGGCTTTTTACATATCCACGATAAACATAATAAAATATTCTTTCTTGTTCACATCTCCAATGTAAATTTGAGGTACTTTTAAACATTCTAGACAATTTCTTGGGCGCCATACATATACATCATTTTATAAAAATTCTCCTTAAAATCATAACAGATGATGAAGAGTCAAACACCAGTACCAGCATGTTCAGATAAATTTCAGCCACATATTTTCCCATTATTATGTCTGTACATTATAGCCAAAGTTTTTAACCCATTTATCCTACTTTTATCCCATACCATTCTTAAATAAGTGTCTTTACCTAAGTTATCTTCAAAAATTATTTTAATTATATTTTACAGTCCTTCATTATTGCTTCTTTCTGTAACAACTTTTGGCACGTAAAAAACTAAAAACACTAAACATTGGACACAGTTTAAGAGTTTGGGTAACATGCTAAGGTATGATTAATTTCTGATCTTCCCACAGCCATATTAGAAGAGTAAAGAATTGCATCCAGACATAGTCAGTCTATCTTGGTAACCTCTTGATTACATGGAAAAGCTGAAACTTTTTCAACTTTTTCTCTTCTCTTCTTCTAGGAAGCACAGATGAAAAGAGTCAAACACCAGTACCAGCATGTTCAGATCTTTTCCTATTTCCTGATGAAAGTGGGAATCTCTCCCAAGAGCCAAGCCCCACCTATGCATCATTTACTCCCAACATGATTAATGAAGTTATAAGAGATGCACCTTCTGAAAATGATGACTTCTGTATTCTTTTTGCACCAAAGGCAGTTATTTCTGTAAGAAACTCAATAACAATGTTACTGAAAAATCAGAAATTTAAAAATGGAAAGTAGATTTTGGAATACATAGATTAAATTATGGCTATTAAAATACTGTAAAATGACCATCTGCACAGTCATTAATATTAATATTAATAACAATATGTACATTTGTAATATTCTAAATATTAGAATGGAGTGATTGAGTATCATTTAACAACGATATTTATTAATCCATCCATTTAGAGGGACTAGGCCTAAATTGAAAATGTTCAGATTTTTAGCCAGTGTTTTTGACTTACATTAATAATGACTTAGTTGCTTTTCATATGTAGTGAAAATTAAGTGAGTTTTAAGTTTTTTGTTTTATTATTATTTTTGGTCCGCTAACAGACCAAAGTCATTGTTGTAGAAAGTAATTGTCAATTGACAGCTGAAGTTGTCTTGGATTAGGAAAATAGATGAATTATTTGGTTTGGTTTGATTTTTAAAAATGTTATGACTGGATAAAAATAAAACCTAAATTAATCATAGGAAATATTAATCCCAAATTTTACCTCCCTTTTTACAGAATATTTTGGATATACTTGAAATCATATCTCTCTTACTTTTCATCAGTTTGAATAAAATAATTCACTGTTTCATTGTACATTAAGGTTCTGAATAATCTGTACTATTGCTGTCCTTTTGAAAATGTGTATCATTTTTATAAATTTATAACTTTTTTATTTTTCTCATTTCCAATTTTACATTTTACATTATTTCATTTAAGCAATATATAATTATATTTGTAATGCAAAAGAAGTTTCAAATTATAGAACCACTTCTAGAAGTATGAAAATGGAAAAAAGGGGGGGAAAGAAAAAATACATATTCAGCTAATAGTTTGTAATCCTTTAGGATAAGGAAGAAGAGCCAGTAGTGAAAACAATGGTTGAAGATGCGATTATAATAAAAGAAAACCATTTTAGTTTACCAGTGAAAAAGGCAGATACAAACAAGACACCGCTGCATTTTCCTGTTCCCCTCATGCGCTATGTTGTGAAAGAAATTTCACTCATTTGGCATCTTTATGGAGGAAAGGATTTTGGGAACATAACACCTACATCTCCAGCTAAAAGTTATATGTAAGTATTTCAATACAAGTCCCTTCTGTGTTTTCACAGGAGCTGAGAATTAGACTTCTAAAAGTTAAATATTAACTTAAAGAATTCCAGTTATTCAGAAATATACACACCAGTGATGGGATTCAAATTTTTTAATTACCGGTTCTGTGGGCGTGGTTTGGTGGGCGTGCAAGGGAAGGATACTGCAAAATCCCTTTCTCTCTCTACCCCACTAACCTGCTTTCTAGCTCCGTTCTCCTGTGCAGTGCAACCAAAGAAGACCCAACTGATCAGCTGGGACTCAGGAGGCAGAGAATAGATGGGGGCGGGGCCAGTCAGAGGTGGTATTTGCTGGTTCTCCGAACTACTCAAAATTTCTGCTACTGGCTCTCCAGAACTGGTCAGAACCTGTTGAATACCACCTCTGATACCCACCCCCTCGGTCATTTTCTTTTGTAACTGTGGCAGCAGCAGTGAAAGAGGATATGGTCTACCAGCCATGACCGTGAGCTCCCTGAATGCATATTCAGGGACCATTATAGGTCATGGAATACTGGACTGGATGTGTAATATAGGCCTGATAATTAGCATTATATTAAACAGAAATGATTGCATCTTAAATTGTAATTTGTTAAACAAAACGTAATAAAATTGGCTTAGTTTGATGTGTGAATCTAGCCAAAATCTTTCTTACTTCATGATTGGAAATATTTTAGTTATGGAAAGAAGGAAATATGTTCCTGATGACAAGGTACCAGTAGTGCATTCAATTTCTTGTTCACAAAACTCATATTGTGCATTGAATGAATCTGAGATCTGAATGAGTTGTGAGGTAAACTTCTAATTTAAAGAGAAAAATATTTTTTCTCTTATCCAGTAGTCCTCAGAGTTCTCCATTTCATACCCCAACAAGACATGGACGTAGTACTGCCTGTGGGGGAAAAGGAAGGAATCCTGATTTTTTGATAGAAATACAGTTAAGCAAGGTAAGAGGGGAAATGACATTATTTGTTTTATTTCTCTAAAGCCTTAACCCATCAAATTTGTTCTTTTTCCTGTCTCTTGTTTTTTCAAAGGTGAAATTCCAACATGAGGTATATCCCTCAGGTGAACCAGAGTGTGAACTCAGCTTATTAGAACAACCTGTATCACGTCAAATATTTATGGTTCAAGATCTTGAAATCAGAGATCGCTTGGCTACATCTCAAATGAATAAATTTCTTTATCTTTACTGTAGTAAGGAGATGCCTAGAAAGGCGCATTCTAACATGGTAAGAGCTCATAAACATTTGCTGAATATTTTAATTCTGAGAATTACATAGGAAGATAATACATTGAATTGTAGGCTGCCCAGAATCATTGACTGAGATGATAACAACCAAGTGCACTGCAGAAGCATATATTCTTTATCATCTGTGCATCATTTGTAGGATGTCAGTTCAGGACTATTTCAGAACCTTAGAGAGCTAAACTTCATTTTGGTGGGGCTAGATTTATCCTCCCCTTTATTTCAGTTTCTTTTGGTTTCTGTGGTGGAAATATATAAAGGTGCATTTTTCTCTATATTCATTAAATAATTTTATTTTCCTACTGAGCTTTACTTTTAAGTGTCATTTAAAAGATAAAAGCTATTTGACTTCTTTAGACCTGTTTTGGGCATTTGAGACATGTATATAAACTCCTTAGGGTCTTGACTATTCCAGTGAGAGAATGTATCAAACATGGAATAAGCATCCACTCTCAGATGGACACTTATTTATTTTATTTAGAAGAAAGACTCTTGATGGATTTTTCAATCTCTTTGCACTATCTCTCTCATCTGCAGAACGTGGAAGCTGATTTTGGAATACTTCTTTTGGAAAATAGGCATATTTATACAGAATGACTGGTATACTAAGTTATCCAAATGATTGATAGTTCAAATCCAGTCTGATAATGCTTTAGCCAGAGTTTGTATCCTGATTTTACCAGCTGCTTGCAGAATTACTATAACATGCTGACAAAAATCAATATCCACAGTCCTGATGCCACACACATTTGATAGTGAAGAACTTCCTTTTTAACAAGAGATTGCTAGATCTAATGGCTAAATAGTGCCTCTTGAAAAAGCACCTTTGGGATCTAATGGTTAATTCATTATAATGAAAATTGCACAACACAGTAGCAAACTTTATTACAGACTTAGATAAGAATTTAAATATAACAACTGTTACATAAAATCAATAAACATTGTAATCACAATCTTTATCTCCAAGAAGTCTAGAATCTGCCACATATCTATCAGGGTTAATTTATTCTACCCAGATCAATAATCTTAATTATAATTATCATGAATTATAACTCATTAAATGTACGTTATGATTCTTAATTCTTAACAAATGTATCTTTTCTTTATGTATACAGAGAGTATTTACACCAAGACAAATTCCTTGTGTGTCCAATCACACTTGGCCAATAAAAGTATTCTATCTACTGTATAAGGGAATGTTATTGATTGGATACTATTATTTTTAATTATGTTTATAAATATTTGAGTAAACATAAATTATTAACAGAAAACTGTTCCTGTTCTCTCAAAGAAATTTCTATCCATGTGCATTTCAGTAATGGTATAAGATGCTAAACTCACCCATATAAATACAACTTAAAAGCTACACACACTGTGAATGTGAAACTGGCTTTGTTCATGTTTGCCTTGTAACGCAGGAAAAGAAATTGTGATTATTCAAAGAGATGACATATTTATATGAATCCTCTATTGATTATTTATTTAAGCAATTTATATGGGTGCCCATCTGACAAAAGTGACTGAGTAGCATACAACGTTACATGTTAATAAATCAGCTATAATGCCAGGAGTCACAGATGATCCCAACTGGAAAAAGGACAACATTAACCAATATATGTTTCATTTAACAGTTGACAGTTAAAGCATTGCATGTTCGTCCTGAGTCTGGTAGATCACCACAAGAATGTTGTTTACGGGTATCTTTAATGCCACTTCGTCTCAACATTGACCAGGTTAGTTAAGAAGACGTCATGTTGGGGAGATGGGTGAACCAATTGCCCCTTTTTTTCCTCTTTGAAGAAAAATATTACTCAGTTGATTACCCTAGCTTATGATCATTATTATGTACGTAATGATCCTGCCTCCCATTTTCCCGCAACAGCAACCTTGCGAGGTGAATCGTGCTGAGAGTGACTAGCCCAAAGTCAGCCAGTGGTTTTTCATGCTTAAAGCAAGCCTAGAACTCTCAGTCTCCGGATTTCTAGGCCAGCACATTACCCATTATTTCAGCTCTTTGTATTTGATACTCTTTCATTAATTTTGAAAATATTATGAATATATCTTTATGAATATTTTTTTAAAAATACTGTGAAGAAATTAAAGCTTGTTTTGAAACATAGACAGTTTTGTAGGATATAGATATTTTTCTTTTTGCAAAATAAAGTACAAGTAGTTATGTATTGAGTGTGTTTTGTGCGTCACATATACATAGACATGCTCATGGAATTCAAATACATACGATTGTAAGGTAAACTTCATTGTTAATAATACAGTACTTTGGGTTTTATATTCAAAAATTCCATCTGACAAATGATTAGTTAGTTAAATATTAGTGTTTAGTATACTATTTAGTATTATAGTAATTAGTAATAGTACTAATGTTGTTAATACTATGTATTACTATAACTAGTAAATACTATTATTGCTATTTTCCACCTCTATATATGATCACATAATGAACAATGTAATAATTTCCTTTTCTTAGTATATACTGCTTTTTATTTTGTAGGATGCCTTGTTTTTCTTGAAGGATTTTTTCACTAGCCTATCAACAGAAGTAGAAGTCCTAATGACTCCAGATCCTGAGGGTAAATATTCTGATGTAAAATCATACATAGGAATTCAATCTAAATTGTATGAATTATATAAATATATAATTAATTTGAAAACAGCTATGTAGAAATAATGACTATTTGTTTGCCTTGGATTTTAATATCAATTATTTTATTTGCAGTTAAAAAGCCTCCTGGTCCTGAAGTAACATGTATTTTGCCCAGGCATCAGAGTGGTTTCAAAGAACCAAATCCAGTCATTTCTTTTTCATTACATAAGCAATCAAGTCAGAATGGAAGTGTTGATTCCGTGGATATGCTCAATGGGGATGACCATAACCTCTCACATGAAGAGGAATCGTTCAGTGATCAGCCAATATTTTTCAGGTACACTTTGGACACCTGCTGAAAACCTTTATTTGTTTTCTGAATTTTTGCTGTTTGATCTTCAGTGCATTGCAAATAGGAGGGATACTATCTAATGGGTGGTTGCTTACCCCTACTCTAAAATGTCTGTCTCTTCTCATGTTACTTTTTCAAAAGCTCCGTTTTGGCACTCTTGCGTGTAAAATCAATTGACTGCTTTCAGGTGCTTGTAGTCATGAATTCTCTATATATAGTTACGCTAAATATAATCACAGCTAAATATTCCCTTTCAACAGAGTGGACAATTTACCTCTCTATGATAATATTTTCACTTTTATTAAAGTGTACTGTAATAGGAAATTTAAATGAAAACAAAGTTCAGAAAAGAAAGGGAAATGAGAGAAGGAGGAAGAAATGCAAGGGTCTGGAAAGAAAAGGAAAAAAAGCAGTGACTTCTGCTTTTTTTTCAGTGCAATAGAGTACAGAATAAAGTTACAACCAACTTTTTGCTTTACATTTCTAGTAGATGCAAGCCACTTCTGTAACATTTAATCATCTAAACCTCAGATTATTTAGATAATAATAAAGGCTGGAGATAGGCCCTATGTTTAAAAAAGCCACTTATTCTGCTCATTCTAAGTGCATCTAGACTCTAGAGATTAAGATTTTGATACTTGTAAATATTGTCTTTATCTTCCATTCTCATTTTTCTCCTGAGCTTTTTTCTGTGTATCATCTAACCACTTCTCTTTCTTTTCAGAGAGTTTCGATTTACATCAGAAGTCCCAATACGTCTTGATTATCATGGTAAACATGTGTCTATGGATCAGGTTTGTTAAACCTTATGCTGTCAGATAAAATATCATCTTTCCATTAATGATGTGGATTCATATCTGCTTTAATAATATACCAAATAGTTTTTCAGATCTTGATATAATACAAAGCTGAATTACAATAATTCTGCACCAAGTTAGAAATTTAATGACACAAAAAAGAATTTAACCAAACATTTTTGAAAACTTCTGTTTTTAAGAAATGAACTTCCTGTTTGTAATAAAGGATTCATATTGTTTGCTGGAATATTTGCTCTGTTTGCCAACCTGGCAGTGAGACCCTTTCAAATCAATTGCTTTCCCTCCAGTTTATTCATTAACTTTTTAGGCCACTGATCTTAGGACACATGGTCAGTTTGCAGAAATGAAGCATCTATGCTGGGATAATACTATATAGCAATAGCACTTTTCTTAGACCTATATACCGCTTCACAATGCTTTACATCTCTCTCTAAGCGGTTTAGTCAGCATATTGCCCCCATCAATCTAGGTCCTCATTTTACCAACCTTGGATGATTGGAAGGCTAAGTCAACCTTGAGCCAGTGAGACTTGAACTGCTGACAGCTGACAGCAGAAGTAACCTGCAGTACTGCATTCTAACTACTGCGCCACCACGCCACAATATACCAATTCCTATAGTACTATTTAGTTTTTTAAAAACTCTCTGGAAGAAGCTCTATTTTGGCCAATTTCCAAAAAGCCAATAAAATTGAAGCAAGCCTATCTTCCTTAGAAAGTGGTTGTTCCCTAGGAGGATAATACATACAGAATTTGGGAGCAGTATCTGAGAAGTAATCACACAAAAAAGAGTTACTATATTAAAAAAAAAAATCCAAGTTGGGCTTATTTTGGATTTCCATTACAGATAGGCCTCAAGGTACAACCACTCATTCAGCAATTGTTCAGAGTTACAACAGAGCTGAATGAGGGGGATTGGTCTGCAAAGTTGCAGCCATTGCAACATCCCAGTGTCATGTAATCATCATTTGCAACTTTCCCTGCCTGCTTCCCACAAGCAAAGTCAGTGGGAAAGACAGGAGGAGGTTGCAAATCATTGCTGCTACCATCTTTTTTTTTTTTTTGCCTCCCCATTCGCAGGAGCCATGTACCTGCCCACTCTTCATAGAATCCACCCACATTTCTTACCCACAGTTAACTATTAAATGGAAATAGGCATAATATGTGAAAAGCAGACTGAAGAATTTCTTTTTCTCTGAGTTTCTGATGAATTTATAGATGAACTAAACATATTTAATTTTCAGGGTACATTGGCTGGGATTCTGATTGGTCTCGCTCAGTTAAATTGCTCAGAATTAAAACTGAAGAGACTTTGTTATCGACATGGGTAAGCTTATTTAATTATATTTATTTGAATAGTTAACTTCTACCAACAAAACAAATCAAATCAAAGCAGTTTAATTCTCACATCTTTTCTTTTTCTTAATTTTCAAATATCAGTAGGTATGTGTCTGTGTTAATACTATTTATTATAGGTTGCTGGGTGTGGATAAGCTGTTTTCTTATGCCTTATCTGAATGGCTTAATGACATCAGAAAGAACCAGTTACCAGGTATTCTTGGAGGTGTTGGCCCAATTCATTCATTAATTCAACTAGGTAAGGCTGTGAAATGTTCTCGACATTTTTTCAAAATTATTATTATTTGTATTATTAAGAACATTTCAGTTTAAATATATATATGAATCAATTTTCCACATCTGCTTAAAGAAAAAACACTTGGCCATATTGGTTATTTGTAATATTCTTTCTTTGATTCAGTTCAGGGCCTAAAAGATTTGGTGTGGTTACCAATAGAGCAATACCGAAAAGATGGCCGTATTGTGAGGGGCTTTCAGAGAGGAGCAGCTTCTTTTGGTACATCTACTGCAATGGCAGCATTAGAACTGACAAACAGAATGGTTCAGACCATACAGGTATATTTTCTATTTATGCTTGCTGACAATTGAAGACTATTTTTGGTTAATTTTGAAGCACATAAAATATTAGAACATACATGAACATACAAGCCTTCAGCTGAACAAACTAAGGTGTCTGTCACTTACTTAATTTGGATAAGGGAAGTTCTAGCCTGTAATGAATAACTTCAAGGGTTTGGAACAATGTACGAATGGTTTAGATTTTTGTTAGATTGACTTTATTCAAAACCAGACAAATGCCTATCATTGAGCTGATAGACAACATGGAAAGTAGTAGAGAAAGGAGGAAATCTTAATGTTTTCACTGCTACATGGGATGCATGTTATAGCATGGGATACCTGTTACATCAGGTCCATGTTGACAAAGGCCAGATAACTAAGCAGAAAGCTGGTTTTGGACTGTATCTTCCAACAGGCTCTGAGAGTTATATTTATGTATGGTTTTCTAAGCACTAGCAATGGTGTAATACATCTGATTTGTTCCTTCTAACATAGTTATTTTTATTGGTTTTTAAATTGTTTTAACCCTATAGAAGCAGGCAATTTAAAAAATAAGTTAAATACATAAATAAAAATTTCCACATGATATTTAATCTCTTTAAGACCATAACAGCTACCTAGATTGTGCAGTAAATGAATGTATTTTGAACAACTGTCTTGTAACTGACATTCTTAATAAACAAGATTCAAATAGAATTCATTTCTGTGAAAATAGTTGTTCCCTTTAAATTTTAATACCCAAATTTTGAACTTTTATAAATAGCTTTTGTAAGCATGGCTTATAAATGTTATGCTATGTTATATTCAATGTTACATGATATGTTACATTAAGACACATCTTAAGTCCTGAGGCATTAACATAGCATGTTAGGGATGAAGCAAAGTTATAATTCATAAATCATTAGTTTATTCTTTGTTCTATTAATGATATATTGTTATTTTTTATTGAAATTGAACTCTAGGCAGCTGCAGAAACAGCTTATGACATGGTCTCCCCTGGCCCTAGCTTAAATGAGACAAAGAAGATCAAACGACTTTCTCGTCGTCTAGCTTACCAGCCTGTGGATCTTCGTGAGGGTGTGGCAAAAGCATACAGTGTTTTAAAAGAGGTAAAGTGTAAATTAATTACAAAAAAATCTCTTATTTTGTTGGTAGATTGTATCCTTGTTGTTTGCTATAATTTGAGATATATTTATATTCACCTCCTAAATATTAAATTGAAAACAATATCAAAAATAATAAAAACATGGGAGGAATGGAAAAGAAAAGCTCGAATAAAACATTTTTATTCAGCATTTAGATGAGTAATTAGCAGTGTATGGATGATAGTTGCTATTCATCCTTAGCTAGTAAATATATAGTTGCTATACCAGATAAATAGTATATATACCAAAATAATACTTTAACCCCAGTAGTCAACCTTCAGTGACAAAATGCCTCTGGAAGCCACCCCCAAACTTCATATAAACTCTAAGAGAATGCAGACTCATAGAGAAAAATTTATCAAATCCATTCTCAGAAATGACCCAACCAACAAAGTCTAAATCTTGTCAGGATTCAGTCTCAATTTACAGGTCTAAGATTATCATTCCAGTATAAGCATTTATTCTTCAGCGTTTTTGAGATTCAGTTTCTTTCAGAGTACTCCAAAAACATGAATTGTCTAGCAAAAACATCCTTTTAATTCCAGGATGATTGCTATATTTACATCATTTCCTATAATATTACAAAAATGTCAGAAAATACATAACATTTCTAATTATGATTAGAAAGGTTTGATAACAGATTTACCCTTACACCAAATCTGATTTGAAAATTCTAGTAACTTTAGTCACAAACTAGTAGTGTTTAGCTCCTTCATCGATGCCATCAATATATATGCCAAAAAAATGTGGGGTTTGAGATCTTTCCGGTCCGAGTTTACAGCAGCTAACAAGAATACTCACATATCCATCAGTCATTAGTCATTAGCATCAGTCATTAGTTTCTGTTTATTTTCTATTCTGTACTTCTTTCATTTTTGTTAATAACATTATATTTTTAATGAAATAACAATTAAGAGTCTAAGTGGCGCAGTTGTTAGTGTGCAGTACTGCAAACTACTTCTGCCATCTGCCTGCAATTTTGCAGATTGAATCCCACTACGCTCAAGGTTGACTCATCCTTCCATCCTTCTGAGATGGGTAAAATGAGGACCATATTGTTGGGGGCAATATGCTGACTCTGTAAACCGCTTAGAGAGGTATAAAAGTATATAAAGCACTATAAAGCGGTATATAAGTCTTAAGTGCTATTGCTATTGCTAAAAAAAGAAAACAAATTCAAAGGGAACAGAAATTACAGTGTAAATAAAATTGAATATTTTTGAGAAAGAGCTTTATAGAATTTTTAGTCTTCTCCCCCCCCCCCCCAAAAAAAAACCATGGAGTAATTGGGCCCTCCCTTCCAATAAATAAATAAATAAAATAATTCATATGTGCAAGAAATAGTATCATACTTTTATTTCACATGTGTTGCCTTGGAGAGTGTTATTTCCTTATATTTACTTTTCTAGGAAAACATTCAAAAGATTTGTATACTGTGCATCCATTAAACAGTAGATATTTTTTTACCTCTAATCTTTTGGAAGGATACTTCTGTATCCCAATGTAGGTTGTGACTATTGTAGATTATCTTTTACTTCATAATCTGCATTGATTGATTAAAGTCACACTTGGTGTTTTTTTTTAAATCTCTGCAAAAGATTTTCTGCAAAAATATATTCCATTTTTCATTTCTTTTTGAATTCCCTCTGAAAATAGTTTGTTTAATCTCAGTTGCTCAAAAACAATCAACAGTAGTGTTGCAGAATGTTGATTAATTGTATTATTACCTCCCTATGGGAGGGCAGTGCCAGCTCTCAGGTGAAACTGAGAGGCTTTGTTGAATGAGATCCTCAGCCTAGAAAACTGCTGATCTAAATCTCTGAATGGTTTTTGGAGAAGTGACTCTATTAGACAAGACTGTTCAACTCCACTTATGTTGTTTTGTATGTTTATAATTTTCTCAGGGGATTACAGATACGGCACATACAATTTATGAAACTGCTACTCGTGAACATGAAAACAGAGGGGTAACTGGAGCAGTAGGAGGAGTTCTCCGCCAGATTCCGCCAACTGTAGTAAAACCGCTAATAGTTGCAACAGAAGCAACATCAAATGTTTTAGGAGGCATGAGGAATCAGATAAGGCCTGATGTACGTCAGGAGGAGTCTCAGAAGTGGCGTCTTGAAGAGGATTAATATATCAAATATATTTGAAATACAGAGATTGGGAATCTGGAAGAAACAATTTCCTCATGGTAATCTAAGATGGGGACATACCTTTTCCATATGCTCATCTCAGGAATTTAAAAAGCATATAAACATATTTGATGTCCAAAACTGGATTATTCATAGAGAAAAGCAAGTTTGATATTTTAGTCATTGGCATAATGCATGTCCCCAGTACCTGCTGGTCAGTGCCAAACAAGGTCATCATGTGTTGCCAAATCCATAGTGGATTGGTTTGTGACCAGGTACCATATTTTCCTCAATATTTTGTGTTGGAATCTTCAATTTTTCTTTTGAAACAACGTCCCATAAGCTACTCGGACTGTACATGTAAGTTTTAAAAGATTCTCAAGTTTAGGGCTGCATCAGTTCCCTTCTGTAACAGGGTAGAATTTGACACGAGAGAGGTCATTTCAAGATATTAAAAATTAATTGAAGTTTCAAATATTTTCTGATTGTTACTTTGCCTTTCATGCAGCACTTAAAAAAGAGGACAATCTGTCTTGATACCTAATCATAATGTCATTTTCATATAATTGTGAACATTAATTGTGTTGACTACATACTGAATTCTTCCTTTTGTGGAGATCCGAGCAATCTGAACGTTGCAGACATGTTCTGTTGTTTTGCACTTTAAAGAATTTAGCCTGTACATTGCTTTTTTAAAATAGTTAATAAAATGAACTTTGTGGTTTATCCTAATATGAGTTCAGCATTTATGCAACTTATTATTTATAAGACAAAATACTGCATGATTGTCAGTGACAATAAAAATGAATTATGGTACTTAAAAGTATTCAGGTTTGCTGTATAGCAACAAAGTTTGCAAGATATGTGCACTTGCACAAACACACAAATAGGAACTATAAAGGAAGAGTGGTTTCTTGAAATAAAAATACTGGTAATGTATAAGTTAGTATGGATTTTTGTTTGAGCTTAAAAACCTTTGGGTGTTGCATGTTTACCTTATATTTTCCTTCAATTTTCTCTATAAGAATATTCATTTCATATGATTTTAAAATATACTGCTTCTTTAATGGTTTCTTTAATAGTTTTGTCTTCAAATTCTACTTTTTTCTATGTCCAACGCAATAAGACAGCCAGTCCTGTGCAGAGCTCAGTAAAATATATATATGCAGAAAAGATACTATAGGTTCCTGATACCAAAAATCAAAAATAGAAAACCATTCAAGTATTTGCATTGATAAAAATATAATTCAGCTATCTTTTATCAACAAAATTTCCACTATTTATTAATGTAAGTATTTGGAAAATAAATATGCTGTTGTTCAAACAAGCTATTTGTAAGTTTAATACACTTTAAAAAACCTCCTAGTTGGAGGTAGCCAAACAGTTATGTTTTTATGCATGTGCTATAGACAGAAATTGTCAATATCTTGCAATTTAGTGGATTTAGATGCTAATAAAATAAAGAATGCCATGAAATCTTGGTGCATGAGTAAATTTAGCAAAACAGTAATAAAGTGTGTGTTGATAGGAAAATTGCATACTAACCTGCTATCCCCTTCATCCAATATTTATGGTTATGACATTAGTGATAATAACTAACCCTAAGACATTTGGCACCTACCCATAGATGAATTCTTATGACTTCAAAATATTGCCTGATAATTGTACACGGTTGTGATCATCTAAGTTGGATATTACAAGTCCTTTATAAAATCATTTAATATCAATAATTCTCTTTCCATAGTGATTGTAAGATCAACAAGAACACCAAAGTATAAAGCAATAAGTTTTATTTTATTTAGGAATGCACTATAGAGAGCATTTACTATTGATAGTAATTTAGCTAGGTGGCCAGAGGTGGTATTCAGCAGGTTCTGACCGGTATCGGAAATTTTGAGTAGTTCGGAGAACCAGCAAATCCCACCTCTGACTGGAGATTTTACAGTATCCTTCCCGTGCCACGCCCACCAAGCCACGCCCACAGAACCAGTAGTAAAAAAAAATTGAATCCTACCACTGTAGGTGGCCATAACCTATTGCAACTTAAGATGATATATAAAGAAACATGAGTTGATAAACTTTCAGGGAGTGTTTCTAATAAGGACTAATTTTGTCATAGGAATAAATCAAAACCTTAATGATTATTTCAAAGAAAGCACTTTTCTTGGTGAATTTCCAAAACCACATTGTAACTACTAATTATTGTTTTGTAATAAAAATAATGATGTCCTATTTGTTAATTGTCCTTTCATGAATTTTATCCAAGTCCTACTTACAACTAAATCACATTATATTTGCTGAATGAGTAGATGAACCAGGTCACGATAATCCTGACTTCCTGATGTTGCAGTTTTTGGGACTGGAGGCGTCTGCTTATGGTCAAACAAACAGTTATATTCTTCTGATTGCTCAGCACTGGCTGTCCTGAAATTTAAATGCAGGACAAGTAGACATGCTTTTTTTCCCTGTCAGCTTTTGTGTATTGGCACTTTCTTTGCCAATTTTTATTAGCTCTTTATTTGGATTCTTAGTTCTAGTGCTAAACAAACAAACAAAACAATCCAACATTTACTTTTAAAATATGCATGCTATGTAGATAGCTAACATTTCTCACTCTTGTGCAGTGGTCAAATCTCTAAAAGTGACAATACAGATAAGGGCATGGTATGCTTTTGATTGCTTTACTCACTGAATCGTTCATGATTGTTGTAGATTATTTCATTAAATTTATTACAGCCGCACACTTGAATAGACTCTGGTGGTTTACAAACATGTAACACTGATTAAAATAATCAAATCACAGACAAAAGAGCCTGAATTAAAAACATATCCATTGAAACATACAATGACAGCCCATTCCTACAAACCCATTGGTTGCAGGCCTGGGACTAAAGCCAGGTTTTAACTCTAGATACTATTCCTTTTAAAAATATTAACATCAAAACTCTTGATGTAAATTAAGAGTATCCAACCTTGGCAACTGTAAGACCTATGGACTTCAACTTCCCAACCAGCATAAAGTTTAAGCCCACAATCTTAAAGTTGCCAAGGATGCCCCTGATGTAGATGATAATGTATTTGTTGTACAAGGGCAAAATCATGAGAACTTTTTAAATCCACTCTTTATATTTAAAATACCTTACATGAATAACTGCCTGTATAAGTCTTACTTGATTCTTAAAAAAGCTGCTAACAACTCTTGATCTCTGATTTTGAAACAATATATCTTTAGTTCAGGGGTGTCAAACTCACAGCCCTCGGGCCAGATGTGTCACATGATGGCCCTGACCCACCCAGTTTAGCAAAGGGAAAAAAAAGTCCCGATAAGTCACCTGACGCCACGAGTTTGACATCCCTACTCTAGTTTGTAGGAATTAAACAATTTGTTTTCCTCTCAAAATGTTACTTGGTGATTAGCTTTAAACCAGGTGGGCTCAGTAGTATACAATTAGCAAATGAATAGACTTGTCTGTGGAAAGTGATTCAAAATATAGGGGTTTCGTGTATTTATCTAAAGAAAGCACTTAAAAAATAAGTAAATCCCCTACAAACATGAAGCTTCACATGCATAGAGTAGCCATGGGTCATAATTGATATTTTGTCCTTTGCTGTAGAGCCATACTTAGTTTGTATTAACATCATTTTATTTGACGTTGTTTAGTGAACTATACCATAAAAAGAATTCTTGGAATTTTGTATCTCAAATCAGCTGCAGATGTAAAGAAAGAAACTGGGTCTATTTCAGATGAAGCATTTAGGCAACCTGTAAATGTGATAACTATTTCTATTTGTATTATACATGTAAAATAATAGTAACAGTTAATTCAGGCTAAATGTATATTAAAAAATAGTGTCATGGCAATAGAACATAGCTTTCAACACTAAAAACAGGTAGGTGTTTGTGTTCTTGGATTATTTATTATTTCACCTCATCTATCACCAGCCTAATAGAATGTATGCTTTTGAGAGCAAATTTGATGTGCTGGAAAAGCTGAATCATGTTTACATTTTGAAATCAAGTTAGCTCATTACTAATAATGATTCACTTCTTCTGGATTTCTGATACAAAAAAAAACATTGCTCAAGCAGATGTACTGTTTATATACATATGTATTTTTACTTATATTTGTTGATTACTTTTTGTGGTATCATTTGTATATAGTTTATTAATGCAAAGCAACTGTATAATCATATGAAAAGCAGAAGCTTCTCTGGAAATAGAAAATAGTTGTACTCTATTTTTCCGTATACTTCTAAATCACTGTAATGCCTCCCTACATTTGAGCATAGCTCATTGATCACTAGTTTTGATGCATTTTCAATACTAGAGACTTTATATTAACAAGGTATTCTGTCCATAACTTTTTCAACGTGTCATTATTGAAATAAACATAAACTGTTTCATGTGAATGTTCTTGAATGAGTATATTAGCACTTGGTTTACTTCTTTGGTTATAATCTCCCCAGACAGAAATAAAACTAAGACTGCTATATTCCACAGAACAACAGCATGGCCTATCTCATTTGCAGAATACAACATATTAAATTGGAATCTAAAGGACAGTGAACCTAAAGGCAAGAATATCTACAGTACAGCATTGAATAGCGAGATGGGACATGGATTAATAAATAAGCCAATATAGGTCAAATACTATAGTCATCTGATGCTGACTTAAACATTGCTTACAAACATTGTTTATTGTCAACAGTCAATGAGAAATCAAAGGATATGTATATATATAGTGTTAGTAAAATACTATTGAAAAACCCTTCAGTCTGGTCCTTCAGCTTCTTCCAACATGTACCCATCACTGCTGTACCTTAGTGCATCCATCTTGCTTCTGGTCGACTTCCCATCCTTTCTATCTTTCTCAACAATAGAATTTTCTGAGAGTTAGGTCTTTGTATACTGTGCCCAAAATAGAATAATTTGAGTGTGGTCATTTGTGCCTTGAATGAGAATCCTGGCTTGATTGGTTCAATAATCTATTTATTTGCTT